CAGCCTTCTGATTTAGCCGTCTCGAGGTGCAGAGGCTGGGGTTGTAGCTACGCAACGGCACACAGTTTTGAGCATCTAAAGAAGGCCAACAACCGCAGCTTAGTGAGGATCCCTTGTGCTAAGATAAAATAAAATAAATCTCTCTCTCGCACACAATTGCAGTCCTAGAGGGGACAGACTGAGTATGAAAACCACAAGGGGTGTATATATACCACACTGAGCTGCAAAATCCAAGATTCACAAGCCGCTGTTTTCCTTGGTGCTGTGTACAACGCTTACCCAGTTGAACTGCGGACTGTCAGACTCTGTGACAGGCCGTCGTCACCTGCCCCTTTCTTGGGAAGTCTGCAAACTGTTGCCGCATCAAGCACCTCACCCACCCCCCCTCTGGAAATTACCGTATTTTTCGCTCTATAAGACGCACCAGACCACAAGACGCACCTAGTTTTTGGAGGAGGAAAACAAGAAAAAAACATATTCTGAATCTCAGAAGCCAGAACAGCAAGAGGGATCGCTGCGCAGCGAAAGCAGCGATCCCTCTTGCTGTTCTGGCTTCTGGGATAGCTGCGCAGCCTGCATTCGCTCCATAAGACGCACACACATTTCCCCTTACTTTTTAGGAGGGAAAAAGTGAGTCTTATAGAGCAAAAAATACGGTACATCTCTGTGGCTCAGCCGTCCTCTAAATGAGAATTGGGCAAATTTGGGGAGTACAGGGCTATCGAAGGCTACTAGCCACAATGGCTTAAGAACGGCAGAATTTTAGAGTTGGAAGAGGGCATAAATGTCATCTAGTCCAACCCACTGCAATGCGGGAATCTTTTGTCCAACGTGGGGGCTCAAACCCACGACCCCGAGTTCCACCAACTGAGTCGGATGCATAGGTTCTTCTGAATACCAGTGTCTGGAAGGTGGGGGAAGAGTGTTTTTGCACTCTAAACCCATTTGTGGGTTTACCCACAGGCAATAGGTTGGCTACTGCGAGAACAGGACGCCCACCTGGTGAGGCCACTGGCCTGCTCCCGCTGGGCCCTTCCTACGTTCTTAATAATAATATTTTATTCTTTATATCCTGTCCATCTGGCTGAGTTTCCCCAGCCACTCTGGGCGGCTCTCAATCGAGTGTTAAAAACAATACAGCATTAAATATTAAAAACATCCCAAAACAGGGCTGCCTTCAGATGTCTTTTAAAGATAGGACAGCTGCTTATTTTCTTGACATCCGATGGGAGGGCGTTCCACAGGGCAGGTGCCACCACCGAGAAGGCCCTCTGCCTGGTTCCCTGTAACCTCACTTCTTGCAGGGAGGGAACCGCCAGAAGGCCCTCGGTGCTGGATCTCAGAGTCTAGGCAGAACGATGGGAGTGGAGACGCTCCTTCAGGTATACTGGACCGAGGCCGTTTAGGGCTTTAAAGGTCAGCACCAACACTTTGAATTGTGATCGGAAACGTACTGGGAGCCAATGTAGGTCTTTCAAGACCGGTGTTATGCGGTCTCGGTGGCTGCTCCCAGTCACCAGTCTAGCTGCCGCATTCTGGATTAATTGCAGTTTCTGGGTCACCTTCAAAGGTAGCCCCACATAGAACACATTGCAGTAGTCCAAGTGGGAGATAACCAGAGCATGCACCACGCTGGTGAGACAGTCCGCGGGCAGGGAGTGTCTCATCCTGCGTACCAGATGGAGCTGGTAGACAGCCGCCCTGGACACAGAATTGACCTGCGCCTCCATGGACAGCTGTGAGTCCAAAATGACTCCCAGGCTGCGCACCTGGTCCTTCAGGGGCGCAGTTGCCCCATTCAGGACCAGGGAGTCCCCCACACCAGCCCGCCCCCGTCCACAGTACTTCTGTCTTGTCAGGATTTAACCTCAGTCTGTTAGCCGCCATCTATCCTCCAACCGCCTCCAGGCACTCACACAGGCACTCTTCACAGCCCTAAGGAAGTCAGATTAGTCTCAACCAGAACCAGGGCCTTTTCAACACTGGCCCCGGCCTGGTAGAACGCTCTGTCTCATGAGACCAGGGCCCTGTGGGATCTGATTTCTTTCCGCAGGGCCTGTAAGACAGAGTTGTTCCGCCTGGCTTTGGCTTGGAATCAATTTTATCCCCTCCCCCTCTTTCTTTTTTCCCTTCTCCTCCTGTGAAGAGGCTGCATCTTAATGTTGTGTTTTAATCTTGTTTTTTAAGTTGTATTTCAATCAACTTGTTTTTATTATTGGCTGTTAGCCGCCCTGAGGCTGGGGAGGGCGGGGTATAAATAAAATTTATTATTATTATTATTATTATTATTATTAGGAACCTAAGATGAGCCTTGCTGGATGAGGCCAGTGGCCTTATAGCCCAGAGTCCTGTTCTCACAGCGGCCAACCAGATGCCCCAATGGGAAGCCTGGAAGGAAGATCTGAGTGCGAGAGCATCCTTCCCATTTGCGAACATGTGCAGAGGAAGGCAACCAAGGTGATCAAGGGTCTAGAAGCCAAGCCTGATGAGGAACAGTCGAAGGAGCTGGGTATGGTGAGCCTGGAAAAGAGGAGACTGAGAGGAGACATGATAGGTAAAGGTAAAGGGACCCCTGACCATTAGGTCCAGTTGTGGCTGACTCTGGGGTTGTGGCACTCATCTCGCTTTATTGGCCGAGGGAGCCAGCGTACAGCTTCCGGGTCATGTGGCCAGCATGACTAAGCCGCTTCTGGCGAACCAGAGCAGCGCATGGAAACGCCGTTTACCTTCCCGCCTGAGCGGTACCTATTTATCTACTTACACTTTGACGTGCTTTCGAACTGCTAGGTTGGCAGGAGCAGGGACCGAGCAACGGGAGCTCACCCCGTCGCAGGGATTCGAACCGTCGACCTTCTGATTGGCAAGTCCTAGGCTCTGTGGTTTAACCCACATTGCCACCCGCGTCCCACAGGAGACAGGATAGCCACCTTCAAATATCTCAAGGGCTGTCAACATGGAAGAGGGAGCAAGCTTGTATTCTCCTGCTCTGGTGGGTAGGAACCATAGCTGTCAACTTTCAGATTTGAAAATAAGGGATCAGCAGCCTCATCGGTCCTGGGGACAGTCTATGGGATATCTAACAATCCGGGATAGCAGCGGGAAACAGCGGGAAACAGCGCTGGGAATTTCCCTCAAAAAAAGGGAAGGTTGACAGCTATGGTAGGAACCAAAATAACGGCTTCAACTTGCAAGAAAGGAGATTCCAACCAGGAAGAATTTTCTGACAGTAAGAGTAGTGAAGATGGTGGAACAGACTCCCACGAGAGGTTGTGGACTCTCCTTCCTTGGAGGTTTCTAAGCAGAGGTTGGATGGCCACCTGCCATGGATGCTTTAGCTGAGATTCCTACATTGCAGAGGGGTGGACTAGATGACTCGTGGGGTCCCTTCCAAGCCCCTAATTCGAGAATTCCCAGCAACTCGGATTTAGAGGCATACTGCCTCTGACGTTGGAAGGAGGACACAGTGATCGTGGCAAGTAGCCTAATCCTTTTTTAAAGCCATCCAGACTTCTTGCTTTAATCCAAGGACCCAGACCTGGTGCCCTCCAGCTCAGCTGGTAGAGCAGGAGACTCTGAACCTTAGGATCATGGGTTCGAGCTCCACGTCGGGGCCGCATTGTAGGGGGTTGGACTACTCTACAAGTCTACTGCTGATCGCCCAAGAATTGATGCTTTTGAATTCTGGTGCTGGAGGAGACTCTTGAGAGTCCCATGGACTGCAAGAAGATCCAGCCTATCTATTCTGAAGGAAATCAGCCCTGAGTGCTCACGGGAAGGACAGATCGTGAAGCTGAGGCTCCAATACTTTGGCCACCTCATGAGAAGAGAAGACTCCCTGGAAAAGACCCTGATGTTGGGAAAGATGGAGGGCACAAGGAGAAGGGGACGCCAGAGGACGAGATGGTGCGACAGTGTTCTCGAAGCTACCAGCATGAGTTTGACCAAACTGCGGGAGGCAGTGGAAGACAGGAGTGCCTGGAGTGCTCTGGTCCAGGGGGTCACGAAGAGTCGGACACGACTAAACGACTAAACAACAACAACAACAAGTCTATAATTCAATGAAGTAGTTGGATTTCAGTTGCCCTCGACCCCAGGCAACACGGTCCATTGTCAGAGACGATGGAAATTAAAAGTCAAGCCATACTGGGAGGCTCTCTGTCCATGCAGCAATCTCTAGCTTATTCCATGGCTCCCCTACAGCATTCGCCGGCTTACGGGGTGTTTTCTTGACCACATACAAGATGAGTCCCCAGTGGGCTTCAGTCGTCAAAGAACTAGGCCCGCAAAGAAGTTCACGGATGCAAATCTTGAACTGCACCTCTTGTTAAAAAGGAAAGGGGGGGGGAGAGGAGGGCAGCATTTTAGAAAAGTCAACGCCGGGTTTCAAAGCACCTTTCTCCCCACCGGAGGAGAGGCTTTTAAAAGGAGGGTTTACGTGCCCTGCAAAATAGAACTCATTTTATCCTGCGTCACCGGGGCTGCGATCGCTTCGCCATTGTACCCATTTCACAGGTGGGGAAAAGGCAGGGTTGCTGCCTGGTGGAAGCAAACCTGTGCTGATTAATGGATTAAACTCGTGCAATCAATGAATGGAAGCTGTGTGAACCTGCATGCAAATAAAACAGATCCGGTTTTTGTTTTGTTTTTAAGGCATGTGCTGCTTTTAGCTAAGTCATGTTCTTTTCATGTCTGTGCAGACACCATCTTAGAACAGGCATTCCCTCTCGCGTGAGTCAGAGAAAACGGGCTTTATGTTCCCTCCATGTTTTTCCTATGCCATCCGTGTTGTATCAAGCTGCATGTATTCAGTTTTTTGTTTTTGTTTTTTTAAAAAACTATTATGAGGCCCAATTAAACCAGGAACATTTTTTTAAAAAATGAACCAAATAATTTTAATCGTTTCCCCCCCCCTCCAACCAATGGATCGACCAAATGTTGCACAGTCCAAGGAAATGCGAAGGCAAGGTTACGCAATGAGTCAGCACTGCAAAAGCTAAGGTCATGTCCACATTGCAAACACAGGGCCAGTTCTGTACCATTTTAACCATCATGGCTCCCCTGCAAAGACTCTTGGGACTCTGGAACGATCAGTCGGCAAAGGGGCCAGGAATTCTAAGACACCCCTAGGCCCAATCCCACGGAATGGCAGAATGTCCCTTGCGGCAAAAGATCCGACTCGGAATCCAGTTTAAAGTCAGTTGTGTAGATTTCCTCCAAGAATCCTGACACCCAACACAAGCTCTTCCCAAAACTAGACAACAACACCAGGAGTCAAGACTGAATTCGCCTTCAGTTCCCGACCTGACTCCGACCATTAAGCCGTATTCCAAACCTGCGTTCAAAACCGACTCGAGAAACCTTCCATCCTGGTAACCTGATGGCTCTAAACATTTCTTGCAGGGAGAAAGAAACACAAAACCTGTTTTCTTTTGCAAAATGCTTCCCTGCAAGAGAAAGCCCCTTCTCATCCTTTGCCGGAGCAAAACCTACCAACTTTTTATTGCGGGGGACCAAAATGATGGAAATTTGGGCGCAGAAAATAGACGGGTGAGAAAGCAACATCTCGATTCTTCCCTTCCACACTCCATATCGTGTCTCCGCCTTTAATGGCACAAAAGAGGGGTTTGCATTGTAGGTTGAAGGGGGGGAGAAAGATAAGAAAGGTGAAGGGAATAAATAACCCAGGATCAACACTGTGCCATATAGGAAAATCCCCCCAACCCCAATTCCCCCACTTCTATCACTAAGAATCTGTAGCAGAGCTGTCCGGGATAAGGGAAGAGATTTATTTTCTATCAAAAAAAAATATTTTGGGGGGTGTCATTGCAATGAAAGTCAAAGACAGGAATATCAGACCCTCACTGCATATAATATAATGTATATATACCTCTCTCTCTCTCTCTCTCTCTCACACACACACACACACACACACACAGTGTTTTCAACATACAGGTGACATCACAATGCGTTGCCATGGAAAACGACATTAAGTATTACAAGATCAAAGATGTTGAGGCAAAGTAGAGAGATGTATTCCTCGGTTTTTTTATGTGGCAAGGGGAAGAAATGAAGAAAAACAGAGGAATTGTCTATTTATTTGTGCGTTTTTCTTAACTGACTTTTTTAAAAAAAAACTTGAAGCATACACAATCCCCCTTTCACGAAAAATGCACAAAACCAGTGCAAATTCCCCATTTTCCAGCGCAACACATTCCCCCATCCTTCCCACAATATACTCATAGTCCCCCCTTTTTTTGTTTTCCAAAAGGAAGGTGGGGGGAAATGTGAATATATTCCATACAAAGTTTTGTGGGGTTTTTAAAAAAACAAATCCTAAACACGTCCAGTTGGAATAAGGACAAATTCAGAGAAAAAACGACACCATTATTATGAAGGGGGGGGGGTTTGAGAAAAAAAATTATATGCTCTCCTCTCGCCCCAACACACAAATACACACAGCATGCTATGAAATAAATTTCATGCAAACACATCCCTCTCTGGCCTTGGCGTAAGCAAAAAAATTATTCTAGTGGGGGGTAGAAAATAAATCCTAATCTATTCTCCCCTCCCCTGCAGCCACGAATTAACATGCACATCCTGCAGCCCCCTCTGTATGAATCAAATCCCCCCCCATTCATAATCATATATTTAAAGGAAAATGTATGCAAACGGCTAATTCCCTTTTACGACAAATATACAGAGATTTCCACCCTGCCTCCCTCCACCAGGCAAGGAAGGTTATACAGTTCACATTTCAAATACATACTTCCAGTTTCAAACCTTATTGCAGAACTGCAGTCTGTTGTTGGTGCATATATTGAAGGAATAATGAAATAAAATAAAATGAAATAAAACTGTGCCCTCCCCACCCCCACCCCTCTCAAGCCAGATGTATGTTCTGGGCTGTCAACAATTTTTTCTTGAGAGCTGCAGACCCGACCACCTCTCCTGTTTCTCAGCCCCCTACCCCTATCTGACAGCGCTAGGAACGGGAGGGCTTAGGAAAAGGTACGCGTCTCTATGGCCCAGCCGCCTATTCCTTCAGCCCATCTCAATGGAAACCCTGGGCTGGATTTTTGTGAATGGAGGGTCACATGACCTAGACTCGGTTCTTTGTCCCTGTTTCTTGAATAAACAACAGGTGAACAGAGGGAAATTAATACATGTATAACAGACATATAGATTTTTTTTTGTATCAAACTGTAAGGAGGAAAAATAACAGAGAGACAAGGGAAATTTCATTTCTACCCCCCCACGCCACTCCTATAAAAACACCTCCAGGGCTGTAAAAAAACGCAAAAAAATCGCAACAACACCCAGAAGCAATCTCAGATCTTTCCACTATGACACAGCCGGCTAAAAAGCCCCCCTCCCTTGTAGCCCCCCTCCCCACGCATCCAAAACTGACAGGCAAGAGAAGCCCACCGCCATGAATCTTCTGGATCCGCACCCTGCCTTTTTATGAATGAATCCAGATGCAAATGGCTTCGATTCACAAACAAATAGACCCCCCACCCTCTTTTTTTCCGGTGGGATTGAATCCCATTCATAAAAAAAAGAGAGAGACCCACCTTCGTCGTCTGAAGAAAACGAAAGACTCATTGAAAAAAAACAACCCCAAAACCCACCACGTATATGGATGGAGGAATATCCTTTTTTTAAAGAAGGAAAACACAGCTAAAGCTACCAAGCACCCGTTGTTTTTTTTAAATAAAAAAAGCAGAGATAAAAAAGATTGATAAAATCACCACCCCGCCGCTACCCTAGCAAAAAGGTTTTAAGAATATACAGATTTTTTTTTATGAATGGGGGTGATGTTTTCTTATCTTTCCCATCCACCTCTTCCATTGCTTAGCAAAGGTGGGGGGCTGTTAAAGCAACCCACGACGTGCCCCCCCTTGTGATTTCTAAATACACATATTCATATAATCGTATATTTGAAAAAAGCGAAATATTTAAAGAGGGAGGGGAAAGATATATAAATATATATATATATAGCAGAAGAATGACTCACTGTGAATCGATGGCCGTTACAGCACGTTAGCTTCGCATATTCACGTTGATGGGACTGACTCTCTTTCCTCCTCCTCCTCCCCCCCACGCCCTCCCCCATCAATTAGAATTTCATATGCATGCCCAGATATATGCATATATATGCATAGGTTGCAATTTATCATCATAAAGAGGATGACAAATTAGCAGCCATCTTCCACCCAGCTAGGACAAATTAGCATCGTTTCTAACAATTCCCCCCCCCCTCTATTTCCCCCTACCCACCTCTGCCTACTGTCCTCCCCCCTTCTCCCCAATCCATCTCGCCTCCTTCCTCCCTGCAGCTGTTAAGAATTGCCTGGTCAAAGGCTGATACTAACCAAAACCTGGGTGCAAGGACTGTGTGTCTCTTACACCGATGGTGAAGGCCAGGAGCTGGGGGTGGGGGCGGGAAGGGGGGGGACAGAATCCAAAGATGAGAAAGGAAGAAGTAGACAGCGGTTTCCACCTGGTCCTAATGCCCTGGAATAATCTGAGAAGAGATCAAAAGGCGGGGGGGGGGGAGAGAAAGGAAAATGTGAAAGAAATGTTATTCGCCCAGTCATCTGTCCCGGGGGGGGGGGGGGTAAGGAAGGGCTTCACTTTGCCCTCAATGGGAGATGTGCAAGAGAAAGGTTTGTGGCTGGCTGAATGTCAAAGCACACCTAAGTGGAAAGAGAAAACTTTGTTGTTGTTCGTTTCTGATATATTCGTCTATCTCATGGGTTTGAGCAAACTGCGGGAGGCAGTGGAAGACAGGAGTGCCTGGCCTGCTCTGGTCCATGGGGTCACGAAGAGTTGGACACGACTAAACAACAACAACAATCTCAGGGGTCAGCAAACTTTTTCAGCAGACCTTGTGGGGGGCCGGACTATATTTTGAAAAATAATAATGAACAAATTCCTATGCCCCACAAATAACCCAGAGATGCATTTTTAATAAAAGGACACATTCTACTCATATAAAAACATGCTGATTCCCGGACCGTCCGCAGACTGGATTTAGAAGGTGATTGAGACAGATCCGGTCCTTGGGCCTTAGTTTGCCTTGTTGTTGTTGTTTAGTCGTTTAGTCGTGTCCGACTCTTTGTGACCCCCTGGACCAGAGCACACCAGGCACTCCTGTCTTCCATTGCCTCCCACAGTTTGGTCAGACTCATGCTGGTAGCTTCGAGAACACTGTCCCACCATCTCGTCCTCTGTCGTCCCCTTCTCCTTGGGCCCTCCATCTTTCCCAACATCAGGGTCTTTCCCAGGGAGTCTTCTCATGAGGTGGCCAAAGTATTGGAGCCTCAGCTTCACGATCTGTCCTTCCAGTGAGCACTCAGGGCTGATTTCCTTTAGAATGGAGAGGTTTGATCTTCTTGCAGTCCATGGGACTCTCAAGAGTCTCCTCCAGCACCAGAATTCAAACGTATCAATTCTTCGGCGATCAGCCTTCTTTATGGTCCAGCTCTCACTTCCATACATCACTACTGGGGAAACCATAGCTTTAAATATACGGACCTTTGTTGGCAAGGTGATGATCTATCTGTGCTTGCTGACCGGCAAGCACAGCCCATCTGTTTCTGGGGTAACACAGGACAGAAGGCTGGCTACAGCTTTAGACACGCAATGTTGTGTGTAGATTTCTAGATCTGTATGAATGAGGTGTGTGTGTGTAAAAGCATTCGCCAACCTGGTTCCCTCCAGATGTTTGAGGCTACAACTTCCATCAGCCTCAGCCAACATAGTGTGGGAGTTGGCAAAGGAAGGAAGGAAGGAAGGAAGGAAGGAAGGAAGGAAGGAAGACAAGCCCTGTTGGAAGAGGCCAATGGCCCACCTAGCTCAAGCACCGTGTTCTCACAGTGGTCAACCAGATGCCTGCAGGAAACCCGAAATCAGGATTCGACCCCAAGAGCCCTCTCTCCTCCTGTGGTTTGCAGCACCTGGGATTCAGCCACCTTGGCCAGTAGCCATAAATAGCCCTCTCCTCCATGAATCTTTTTTTTTTTTACCATAATATTTATTAATTTTCAATAGACATAACAAAAAAAATGCAACAACAACACAACAACAACAACACAATAAAAAAGTGAAAAATAAGAAAAAAGAATAACAAACTTAACATACCTAAACAGGAAAAAAGAAACTCAGCCAATTAATTAAAATCCATTTTCATAAACATTTTAGTTAACTTCCTCTAATCTCCTCCATCTGAATTTCCTCTTAATTTGAATGTAGCAGTTTCCAATATCATTATTTCATAAAACAATATTACAGTCACATTCCAATTTCTTTACCTTTCTTATAGTACATTCTCTTATTTATACTTTCAAGTCTAATTTAGTCCCAAGCCTGATTGGTTCTTTCAAGTGGTTACATATCTTTAATATTAGAATATTTATTCAAATAGTCTTTAAATTCTCCTCCATGAATCTGGCCATCACAGCAGTGGGAGGGAGTTCCATAGTTTAACTCTGTCTGCATGGAGAAGTCCCCTCTTTTATCTGCCCTGCATAGGAGCCAACTCCTAGGGGCCAAGACTCCCCCTCCCATAAAATATTTGAGCCAGGAGGGCCCTAAAATTGATGGACATTGCCATTCAAATGGTGTGTCTTGCGATAGATTATGTGGGGCAGCGTGTACCTCACCCCCTCAATATTTTATTAGTTGGCACCCCTGCTGCCCTGAATCTTCCGACATTTGGCTCCATCGGATAGTCACAACTTGTAGCGTTACCAGTGTCTACCTGGTTTTTTTGTACAAACAGGTCTTTTAGGTAAAGGTAAAGGGACCCCTGACCATTAGGTCCAGTTGTGACCGACTCTGGGGTTGCAGCGCTCATCTCGCTTTACTGGCCAAGGGAGCCGCCGTGCAGCTTCCGGGTCATGTGGCCAGCATGACTAAGTCGCTTCTGGTGAACCAGAGCAGCGCACGGAAACGCCGTTTACCTTCCCACCGGAGCGGTACCTATTTATCTACTTGCACCTTGATGTGCTTTCGAACTGCTAGGTTGGCAGGAGCAGGGACAGAGCAACGGGAGCTCACCCCATTGCGGGGATTCGAACCACCACCGACCTTCTGATCGGCAAGTCCTAGGCTCTGTGGTTTAACCCACAGCGCCACCTGCATCCCTCACCTGTTATTTGAAGGGTCCCAAACCCTGCAAATTTTCCTCATGGGGAGTAGCTCCACCCCCTTGACCATTTTGGCTGCCCTTCTCTGAAGAATGACATTATATTATCGGCAGATTTATGTTCAATTCCTCCCCCAATGATCCCTAGCATGGGAGTTGCCTATTTCAGCATCTTCACTGAGCAATCCACTACAGCTCCTATCCTATCTTCTGCGACATTTGAACTCCAATTCCTACTGGCGCTGCTTGGCTTCTTCAGCGCAGCACATGGTTCAGCTATGGAACTCATTCCTGCAGGAGGTGGCGATATGGCCACCAACTTTAGCTGAGATTCCTGCATTGCAGAGGGCCGGACTAGATGACCAACTCTACAATTCTGTGATTCTATGCAGATGTTGTGGCTTCAATACCAAGCCAGCTTTTTCCTTGGCTGAACATCTTGCTCAGTGAAGAACTCTGGCGGACTCAGAAACCTGCCTGCTTTTATTTTGGTGACTCTTGACCGGTCCTGTTCAAGGGGCTTTGGAATGTTTTCCAGAACAAGGTACTTTACTCCTTAGCCACGATTGCAAATATAATCAACTCCTTCCTCTGATTTCAAGAGAGCACTGCACTCCAGCAGCTGTGAACTTGTTGTTTAGTTGTTTAGTCATGTCCGACTCTTCGTGACCCCCTGGACCAGAGCACGCCAGGCACTCCTGCCTTCCACTGCCTCCTGCAGTTTGGTCAAACTCATGCTGGTAGCTTCGAGAACACTGTCCATCCATCTCGTCCTCTGTCGTCCCCTTCTCCTTGTGCCCTCCATCTTTCCCAACATCAGGGTCTTTCCCAGGGAGTCTTCTCTTCTCCTGAGGTGGCCAAAGTATTGGAGCCTCAGCTTCACGATCTGTCCTTCCAGGGAGCACTCAGGGCTGATTCCTTCAGAATGGAGAGGTTTGATCTTCTTGCAGTCCATGGGCCTCTCAAGAGTCTCCTCCAGCACCAGAATTCAAAAGCATCAATTCTTCTGCGATCAGCCTTCTTTATGGTCCAGCTCTCACTTCCATACATCACTACTGGGAAAACCAGAGCTTGAACTATACGGACCTTGGTTGGCAAGGTGATGTCTCTGCTTTTTAAGATGCTGTCTAGGTTTGTCATTGCTTTTCTCCCAAGAAGCAGGCGTCTTTTAATTTCGTGACTGCTCGATCAATACTGATGTTGGGCTGGGGCTGATGGGAGCTGGCGTCTTTGGGGTGCCACGGGTTCCCTGTCTCAGCCGGCTTTTGGTCACCTGGAAAATGCATTGCAATGTAGCCAACTTACCCAATTCACTTAAGCTATTTGTTTGGTCGTACAGCAAGGTGATTTTAATCGACCATTTGTTTAAATCGGGCCCAATGCATGCTTTGGGGGGGGCGTGTTGGGGGTTAAACTTGTGACTCAAGAGAGCAACAATCCCATGCAGCAACAAGACCCATTTTGCATCCTCCTTGAATTGGTCTTGAATTGCCCAAGAAAGATGTAAAGGTATTTTTCTATGCCACAACTGCTGCTTGAATTTTAATAGCCAAGAAGCGGAAAACACAAGAATTACCAACTGTGGAAGAATGGCAGATGAAGATGATGGACTTTATGGAGCTAGCTGACCTCACTGGAAGAATCCGCGACCAGAAAGAAAAGGAATATCAAGAAGATTGGAAGAAATTTAAAGACTATTTGAATAAATATGGTAACATTAAAAATTAGAAGTTACCTGAAAGTACCAAATAGGCCTAGGATTAAATTAGGAATTAATTAAATAAATGAGATTTGGAATGTGAAGAAAAGTTAAGAAATTTGACTATAATTGGAATATTGTTTTTGAACAATGATATTGGAAAACTGCTACATTCAGTTACAAGGAAATTCAGATGGGAGGGACCAGAGGAAGTCAAGCAATATGTTTATGAGGTTGGAAGTTTAATTAATTAATCAGTTTGTATTGTTTGTGTTTGTTGTTATATCTTTTGTTTTTATTCGCTTTGTTTGTTTTATCTTTTTTATTTTTGTTTCAGTTCTTTTATAGCATGTGTTATATTTGTATGAAACTCAGTAAACATTATTGTACAAAAAAACAAAACAAAACAAGACCCATTTTGCAAAGCCGTGCTTGCAACACCCGCGCGCAATTACGCACAGGATCGGTGGGTGGGGCTTCGAGGCAGCATTCTTGACAACCCCTCCCCCCCCGCAGGGGGAAAAAGGGGCGGAGCGTCCGTTATATCCGTTGCGGCTCCGCCCACTCGTTCCATTTCCCCAGCTCCGTCCGGGAGCAGCCACAAAGCCAGGCGGTGAGTGGGAGGGGCCGCAATTTGGAGGAGGGGCCTGAGGTGCAGGGGGAGGGGCCAGCCCTGAGCGGGTGGGGCAAACGTGGAAACGGGTTTGGGTGGAGACCAGCACACGTGGAGCCCACCTGAGAGCAGAGCCAAGGGCGAGTTGTGTATCTGTTTGTTGTTTTTACTCACTGAGTAGGCATCCCGCAGAGAGAGAGGGGGGGGGGAGAAAAGCAAAATGCGCCCTTTTAAGCCTGTGAGTTGGATACAGTGAGAAAGGTTTCTGGAGGGATCAATCGTCTGAGCAAAACCCACGGAGGAGGGATCCTAGTGAAAAGGGAGCAAGTTCCAGTAAGGAAAGAGATCCAAAGAGGGGAGGCTTTTTTAAAAAAAAAAAAATAATTAAAAAAAAACTCATTAAGATCCACTGAGCGTAAATCTAAGGAGGAGAGGCATTTATATTTTTTAAATCCATTAAGAAGTGATCCAAACGGGACAGCCATTTATTAAAAACTCGGGTGAGCAAGTTCTAGGGAGGACAGATGGAAAGGAGTTGCAGGTTTTTTGTAACCCGGTGAGTAGCACCCAAAGTTTGAAGGTTAGCGAATGGGATCCAGTTGGGAAGGATCCAATCAAGACTTGTGCTGTCGTCCCCCCCCCCTTCTAAGAATGGGATCTATTGTGGGAAAGATCAGTGCTTAAGCAGGCCATTTTAACAAACTCACTGAGAAGAGGATTTATTCCGGATGGTTCATTGCGCGTACCTGAGAGGACTACAAATTAACCAGGAGGCGGCTTGAATATGAACCGTTCCCTCAAGGCTCCACCACTCTAGGCAGAAAACTCAGGTATCTTGGCTTCTAGGTGCTCCCAGCCCCCCAAAACCCCCAGCAACAGCCCCCTTCCTTCTTTGTAAGGATTAAGCCTTATTCCGTTCACCCTGCAAAGGAATTTAGGAAGCTGCCTTATGCCAGAGTCAGGCCATTGGGTCTGCCTAGCTTATTACTGTCAACACTGGCAGGCAGCAGCACCCCCAGGATTTTGGGGAAGGGGTCTCTCTCAGCCCAACCTGAAGATGCTTCTGGGACCTGAATCTGGAACTTTCTTGTAGCTCTGGGAGAGCCCAGCTGGTAGAGCATGAGTCTCTTAATCTCAGGGTTGTGGGTTTGAGCCCCACGTCGGGTGAAAGACCCCTGGACTCGTTGACCCCTGTGGCCCCTTCAAACTCTACCATTTTATGACTGCCTGCAAAGCAGATACTGCACCCCTGAGCCGATGGCCCCTCCCCCAAAAGAAAAGGATCTAGGAAGAGATGCAGTTCTCAGCCTGGAGGCCATTCTCATCTTCTGAGATGGCAGGTTGACGGCCCTTTTAACTGGCCCCGATCCTGTGCTTTGAAGCATCCTCTGAAGCGCAGACACTTAGGAAGTGGGGCTTCTCAAGGGAAGCTTGACAGGGGGTTGTTTCCTGCTTGGCAGGGGGTTGGACTCGATGGCCCTTGTGGTCTCTTCCAACTCTATAATTCTATGATTCTATGAAATGCATGGCAAGACCCCGTTAAAAGCACAGGAACCAGCGCTGTGCGTTCAGAGCGGCGGTGCTGAGCCACTTTAAATGCCCCTCAAATAGTCTGCAGTTTGTTAAGGGTGCCGACTGTCGCAGTGAGTCCCCCATCCGCCTCAGAGAGTGGTTCACCTCATCCCAGGTAATTTGGGGAATCGTAGCTGCTTTAAAACAGGAAGTGACCAATGCGCAGAGGAGAACGCTACCATTGGCTACTGGTCACATGGCCGCGTTCTACCTCCAACTGTCAGGGCTGTTACGCCTCTGAATACCAGTTGCTGGCAATGGCAAACTGGCCCGTGGCAGCGGATTGTCGGCTGCGGGAGCAGAGTGCTGGGCTGCCTGCATGTTCTGCGCTCAGGCAGAATTGGGGCATCCTCTGTGAACCTGCCCATGTGTCTCTGTGTCCATCACACACATTGCATCACCTCCCCTAGCCACTGCCTCCTCCTCTTCCTCCTCACACTGGACTTTTTTATTATTATTCCTAGGATGACTGTATATAATGGGCAATGTCCAATCAGAAGCCACACAAGAATCAGAGACTGCCAAAGACGGGGAGGAGAAGGCCAACCCGGACAGGAGCAAGCCAGACCGGGGTGCGAGCGGCGCTAAGCATGAATTGGGGAGCCGCCCCCCGGGTCTCCAGGCCCCTGAGCAGAAAGCTACCAGTCAGCTGCTGAGCACTGAGCCAGGGGGAGGGGACAGGCCGGCGGGGGCTGCTGCGGAGATGGGGAAGAATCATTCCAAGAAATCGAAGCTGAAGCTCTCTTCCATGTGGGCGCAGAACACAGCCAGTGGCGGGATAAAGGAGGCCAGCCTCTGCGACAAGGACCCAGGGGCGGAGAAGCGGGGGCTGGCTTGCCTGAGCAGGGCGGACCTCCAGAGCAGGCCGAGCTCGGCCCCCGCCCCGCCAGAGGACCCCAAGGGGCTGAAAGCGTCTCTGAGGCCTCCCCCAGCGCTGCCCTCTGACCCCAGGGACTTGGGCGCCAAGCGAGCACCGGCAAAGGGGAAGGGCAAGCCAGAGAACGTGCCTCAGGCCAGGGGCATGGGCGGCCTCCTGCTGCAGCCCGAGAAGCTGGTGGAGCTGGGCCCGGCTGCTGAGGCGCCCCCGGACGTGGCAGAAATGGAGGTCTGCTGGACCCAGCACATCAAAGCCAGCGCCAAGGAGCACTTTGAAAACAAGGGGAGGGTGCTGGAGTCGGCTCCCTCGGCCAAGAAGCAGCCAGCGGGCCCAGAACCTCTGAGGGGGGCCGAGGATGTGGCGGCGGCCGCGGCAGGGCCTTGGCCACTGAATGAGAAAAGCGCCAGCCGTTCAGCTGTGTCCGGCTGTGTGGCTCCACCTGGAGGGAAGAAGGCTCTTCTGTCGTGGGGGTCTGGGCAGAAGGAGAAAGAGAGTCCCGGACAGCGGGACAGCGCCCCTGGCAGCGACGGAGACTCCCGGGGCCTGGCCCTTGCCTCCCAGTTGCCTGCGGATTGCTCTGAGACACCGGGCAGCCCCGGGGAGAAGGCCCAAGGCTCAGGGAGCGAGGCGAAGGCCGGGGCAAAGAGCGAGGCCCTGGGAGCGGAAGGGGTCAACTCGGAGACCATGCAGGAGCTGCTGGAGAAAGGCCTCAACTTCCTGTACAAAGTGACCATCCAGCCGGGGCAGTGGCCACCCAGCATCAAGGCGGTCAAGCAGAAGGCGGGCGTCATTTCCTCCGGCATCTCCTACGCCGACGTCCTCAAGCAGTGCCCCCAGAAGAAGGCGCCCGCCGGCGCTGCCCCGGCGCTGCCGAAAGCCTTGCACCACCTCACCGCGGCGGGCAAGAAGCTGCCGTCCTTCAAAGGGCTGGAGAGGAGCAACCCTGAGGACTTCTCCTCGCTCAGCCAGCTGTTCCTGGAGCACTTCAAGAAGGTCACCCCGAAAGAGCCCGCTGCCCCCCACGCCCCCAGCCAGCAAGTGGTCACCTTTTTTGAGGAGCTGTCCACCGGCAACACCAAGCGGCCAGAGTGGCAAAGGCCCCGGCCGCCCACTCCGTACCCCCAGCGCCGCAAAGGGCAGGGCCGGAAGCTGCCCAAGTTTGGAACGGCCGTGTCCCAGGTCGTCGCCTTCCTGGGGAGCGACCCCAAGTGCGATTGGTTTGTTCACGACGACGGCCAGGTGTCTCTGGACGAGGCCGCGGCAGGAGCTGAAGACGGGGGCAAGGACTGCGCCGACCCACCCAGCCCTGGCGAGAAAGGGGCCGAGGCGATGGGCTCCCCTCAGCCCGTTGTGGCCCTCTTGGCGGAGCACGAGGCAGCCGGGGAGGCTGACGAGGCTGCCCAGAGGTTGCGCAGAAGGCCTCAGGGCATGGAAGGGGTCGCCAAGGAAACGGGCCCAGCGAAGCCACCGGCCTGTAATGCTGCCCGGGGCGGCCATTCTCCGCTGGCCATTCCTCCGTTCCCCCAAAAGGAAGACCAGCCCCCGGCGTCCCTGCTAGGCCCGAGGCCGTGCTCTCCCGGGGAGGTGCTGGAGGCCCCCAGTCCAGCCGCCTCTGCCCGGTGCGCCCCCGTGAGACTGATTCCCGAACAGAAGGTGCCAGCTGCAGCCCAGGCGAGGCCCAAGATCCGGAAACAAGGCCCCTCCGCCGCGAAGTCCAAAGAGAAACTCAAAACCTCAGGGCAGCCGAAAGTGAAAACGCCCAAGGGGAAGGGGCAGAAGCAGTGGCCCCGAGGCTACGGGATGAGCTCCCTGAGGTTAGAGGGTGTTCCCCTCTTCCCGCCTTTCGAAAACGTCGCCAGGCCGTTTTATTTTGGCGAGCCTTTGGTGAGTCTCGTGGATTTGGCTGCTCTTTGTTTGATTCATTGACGGCTGCTACCCACGCTCTTCATTCCTTTTTGCTGTTAATGATCTGTTATGGTTCTTTACATCCTTTCCAACCTGGTTTTGGAACAAGCAAGGCCTTGGGTATCTTGAGGCACTGGTCTTCAACTGGTGGGTCTGGTCCAAGGTGGGTCACAATGGGAGCATGACCCACCGTGCACATATATAAAGTAAAAGGTTAAGAAATGCGTCCCCAGAGGCATGTTTGAGTTGGAAATGGGTCCTGGGTCTGAAAAGGTTGAGGATGCCTGCCCAGGGGTGTGATATATCTGCGTTGCCCCAGCTACTCTGGGAGGCTCTTCCCCCCCCTCCAAAAAAAACACAGCGAGACATCAAACATTAAAAGCTTCCCTAAACAGGGCTGCCTTCAGATGCCTTCTAAAAGTCAGATACAGTGGTACCTCGGGTTACATACGCTTCCGGTTACAGACGCTTCAGGTTACAGCGCACACACCGTACATTTAAAGCACATTTCCCTCTTCCTCAAGAATCCCGGGAATTGTACAGTGGTACCTCGGGTTACATACGCTTTAGGTTACAGACTCCACTAACCCAGAAATAGTATCTCGGGTTAAGAACTTTGCTTCAGGAGAACAGAAATCGTGTGGTGGTGGTGCAGCGGCAGCAGGAGGCCCCATTAGCTAAAGTGGTGCTTCAGGTTAAGAACAGTTTCAGGTTAAGAACAGACCTCCAGAACGAATTAAGTACTTAACCTGAGGTACCACTGTAGTTGTTCATTTCCTTGACATCTGATGGGAGGGCATTCTAGAGGGCGGGTGCCACCACCAAGAAGGCCCTCTGCCTGGATCCCTGTAACCTCGCTTCTCGCAGTACGGGAACTGCCAGAAGGCCCTCGGAGGTGGACCTCAGTGTCTGGGCTGAACATTGGGGGTGGAGATGCTCCTTCAGGTATACAGGGCCCGGCAGGGGTCCTTGTTAGGTCTACAAGGCATCTTTTCTCAAACCACACCCACCTGCCCCACACCGAACATCATGTGACATTGCATGTGGGGCAGATAAAGGCATGGATGAGACCGGGAACCCCTTAGCACAGCGGTTCTCAAGCTGTGGGTCCCCAGATGTTGTTGGACTACAACTCCCATCATCCCTGACCTCTGGCCTTGCTAGCGAGGGGTGATGGGAGTTGTAGTTCAGCAACATCTGTGGACCCTCAGGTTGAGAAAGGCTGCCTTAGCAGAATGGGGCTGGCTCTAGGTCCTGATCCGTTGTTGGGCACTGGGAGGGAGCAGCTTTGAAGACCCAGACGGGCTTCAGAGGGGTTCTCTCACAATGCCAGTCAGCTGATCAGCGGGGTGAGGAGCTGCCTTGAAAGCAATGTGTTCATTGCTGCTGCCAGCGCACGTTCAAAGGAGCTGCTTCTAGGTACCCGCCAGCTGATGGGCACCAAGAAGAGTCCCATTGAAGATACCACCTGACCTCATAATGATGTCAGGTAGGGTTGCCAGCCCTCCAGGTCTGACCTGAAGTCTCCAGGTTTTCCTGGCCCCCTCCGGGGAGGAGGCAGGCAGAGGGCTTGAATCTCCAGGTGGGTGGGAGTGTCTTTAATAATGAAGAAGAATTATTAAGAAGACTGTGCATGTAGCTTGCATGCTTCAGCCCAGCTTCAAATTATAGCACAGACACTCTGTGGTGGGGTCTGACCTCCTCCACTCTCCCAATTAACCTCCATCTCCAGGGCTGGTCTGCCTGACATCACCAGGGGCCTTTCCCCATGACATCACCAGGTCTCATGACATCACCAGGTTTCACATTTGGGATGTGAAATATCAGGGTCCGGAATGCTCCTGACCTGTGCTTTCAGTGCCATCGACCATGGTCTCCTGGAGTGGCTGTCTGAGTTGGGGGTGGGTGGCACCACTTTGCGGTGGATCTTGTCCTACTTGGATGGTCGTTTCCAGAGGATAATAATAATAATAATAATAATAATAATTTATTATTCATACCCCGCCCATCTGGCTGGGCTTCCCCAGCCACTCTGGGCGGCTTCCAAAAAAAAATATTAAAATACTGTAATACATCAAACATTAAAAGCTTCCCTAAACAGGGCTGCCTTCAGATGTCTTCTAAAAGTCTGGTAGTTGTTCTTCTCTTTGACATCTGGTGGGAGGGCGTTCCACAGGGAGGGCGCCACCACCGAGAAGGCCCTCTGCCTGGTTCCCTGAAACTTGGCTTCTCGCAGTGAGAGGACCACCAGAAGGCCCTCGGTGCTGGACCTCAGTGTCCGGGCAGAACGATGGGGGTGGAGACGCTCCTTCAGGTATACTGGACGTGCTCTTTGGCCCTATGGAGCCTTCAGTGTTGGGCTCTTCGGGGTCCCATTTTAACCCCTAGGCTGCTTAACATCTACACGAAACCACAGAGCCGGATTATCTGGAGTTTTGGAGTCTGTGGTCAGCAATATGCGGAAGACACACAGCTCCACTTTACACCTGCAGGTTTGGCAGTGGATGTGCTGGACTGTGGTCTTGCCTTGATAATGGCCTGGATGAGAGCCAGAAAACTGAAGCTCAATTCAGATAAGGCTGAGGCTCTGTTGGTGGGAAGTTCCACAGACTAGACGGCTGGGAGGTTGCCTGCTCTTGATGGGGTTTCACTTCCTCTGAAGGACCTGGGGGATACTTCTGAACTTTTCGCTGTTGCTTGAGTCTCAAGTGGTGTCAATGGCTCAGAGTACCATCCATCAGCTTCGGCTGGTGGCCCAACTGTGCCCCTATCTGGACAGGGATAATTTGCCTTCTGTCATCTCTGTTCTAGTAACCTCTAGGTAAGATTACTACAACGTGTTATATGTAAGGCTGCCTCTGAAGGCGGTTCGGAAACTTCACCTGGTGCAGAATTCAGTGGCCAGGTTGCTCACCGGAGCAAGACAGTTTGAGCATATTACACTGATCCTGGTCTGACTGCACTGGCTGTCGATTAGTTTCCGGTCCCAATTCAAAGTGCTGTTTTTGACCTCTAAAGCCTTAAACAGTTCAGGACCACAAGACCTCAAGGACCACCTCCCCCCATATGAAACTACCTGGACCCTGAGATCATCATGAGCCCCTTCTCCATGAGGGGTCTGGAGAGTGACAACATGAGAAAGGGCCTTTTCTGTGGTGGCTCCCCACTTGTGTGGAATGCTCTCCCTGGCACCTTCGTTACATCTGTTTAGGTGCCAGGTGAAAACATCCTCCTTCAGCAAGGCCTTCGGCTGATTGATACTCTATGGCCTTTTAACTGTGCCTGTTAGGAGTGGGGTTTTATTGATTTGTTTGCTTGCTTTTTGTGTATTTTTCATTTTCATGTTGTATTGTTTATGTTGTAAACCACCCTGTGATCTGCAGATGAAGAGTGGTACAGTGGTACCTCGAGTTACATACGCTTCAGGTTACATACGCTTCAGGTTACAGACTCCGCTAACCCAGAAATAGTACCTCGGGTTAAGAACTTTGCTTCCGGATGAGAACAGAAATCGTGCTCTGGTGGCAGCGGGAGGCCCAATTAGCTAAAGTGGTGCTTCAGGTTAAGAACAGTTTCAGGTTAAGTACGGACCTCAGGAACGAATTAAGTACTTAACCTGAGGTACCACTGTATACAAATGTAAATCATCATCATCCAAACTGGACTTTCCAGTAAGCTGTTTTGAGCGTAGGAAATATGATGTGGAAATGTTTTAAGCAAATAAAATCACTGTATGTCCAGGAAACGCCCCCTCCCCTGGAGAAACCCGCCAGCCTTGACGAGGATGCAGCTTCTGCCCCGACTGGTCCAGACCCTGGCGGAGAGGCGAGCGGATCCCCTCCACACCACCACTGGCCGGCTTTCCAGGTGGCAGAATCATGCTCCAGCAAGTGCTACTGCAAACATCAGGAGCAGAGGAAACTGCCCCAGAACGTCGTAACTTGGTGAGCAGGCTGAAGCCTCGAGTGCAAATCCCGAGCAGCTGGTCACAAAACAAACTTCGGGGGGCAGGGGGAGTTATTATTACTACTACTATTACTAGTACAGTGGTGCCCCGCAAGACGAATGCCTCGCAAGACGGAAAACCCGCTAGACGAAAGGGTTTTCCGTTTTTGAGTTGCTTCGCAGGACAAATTTCCCTATGGGCTTGCTTCGCAAGGCGAAAATGTCTTGCGAATCTTGAGATTTTTTTTCCGCTTTCCCCCCCCTTTATCTAATCTGCTAAGCCTTTAATAGCCTTTAATAGCCTTTTAGCAGCTAATCCGCTAAGCCTTTAAGCCTTTAATAGCCGCTAAACCGCTAATAGCGCTAATCCGTTAAGCCGCTAATAGGGTTGCTTCGCAAGACGAAAAAACCGCTAGACGAAGACACTCGCGGAACGGATTAATTTCGCCTTGCGAGGCACCACTGTATTAGCATTAGCACGCTACATCTTTATCCCCAAAGGCTCCCAGACTGGCTTCCATATAGCCAATTAAAACAAGACAGTCGCTGCCCCACAGGCTTACAATGAAAAAAACAAGGACAAAGGGACAGGGAGAAAAGTAGCTATGCCTGGAGCATAATAATAATAAGAATAATAGTTATAAAATAATTTATTATTAATACCCTGCCCAGCTGGCTGGGTTTCCCCAGCCACTCTGGGCAGCTTCCAGCAGAATATTAAAATACGATTCATCAAATATTAAAAGCTTCCCTAAACAGGGCTGCCTTCAGATGTCTTCTAAATAGTCGTTTATTTCTTTGACATCTGGTGGGAGGGCGTTCCACAGGGCTGGCGCCACTACCGAGAAGGCCCTCTGCCTGGTTCCCTGTAACCTCGCATCTGGCAGTAAGGGAACCGCCAGAAGGCCCTCGGAGCTGGACCTCAGTGTCTGGGCTGAACGATGGGAGTGGAGATGCTCCTTCAGGTATACTGGGCCTTTGAGGCCATTTAGGGAACGGCAAGAGTTGAGAGCGATAAGCTGTGTGCTAAAAAGGCCAGTTGTCTCCCGACCCAGATTATCCTGTGTGGTTCTAACTAGCATGCCACACCCAGGCAGGAGGAGCTGCAGAACTCTGTTTCTCAAAAGCAGAGACTAGCTGTGCTGGCTGCGCCTTATGGGAACTGAACATCCCAAGTACTACAGGTTTTTAAAGGTAAAGGTAAAGGTACCCCTGCCCGTGCGGGCCAGTCGTGTCCGACTCTAGGGTTGTGCGCCCATCTCACTTAAGAGGCCGGGGGCTAGCGCTGTCCGGAGACACTTCCGGGTCACGTGGCCAGCGTGACGACGCTGCTCTGGCGAGCCTGCACCAGCACAGCACACGGAAACGCCGTTTACCTTCCCGCTATAAAGCGGTACCTATTTATCTACTTGCACTTAGGGGTGCTTTCGAACTGCTAGGTGGGCAGGAGCTGGGACCGAAAGACGGGAGCTCACCCCGCCACAGGGATTCAAACCGCCGACCATTCGATCGGCAAGTCCTAGGCACTGAGGTTTTACCCACAGCGCCACCCGCGCCCCAAAGGTTTTTACTCTCGTATGTAAATTTCTTGTTGTTTAGTCGTGTCCGACTCTAATCCATGGAGGCTCACCTGGGTATTCTTTAACCAGCTGCCCTTTTGCAGTTGCAGTGAAGCCATTGTAAGAGGCCTAACTCTGCAAAGCTCCACCCTGCTCACCTATGCTTCTGCTCTCCCCCCTCCCCCCCCCGGTTTACAGGCTCAATCCTTCCACCAACCATCTGACCGAACCACCCTGGGTCGCCACCGCCATGCTGGCCGTCTCGCTTGTTGCCGGGACCAAGTTCTGCCTGGACTCTTACGAACAGCAGCACATTGCCAATGAGGACTGAACCCCCTTCCCCAGGCTTCTGCAAAAAATAAACCCTGTACATCACACCAGCTTGGCCTGTGGCTTCCGTTTCGTGCGGCGGGGGTCCCTGCAGTCTGCCGGGACTTCTCCTCGAGACCTGATATTGGAATCAAACGGGTTTCCAGTTCTGCAGATGGGTTTGGAAACGGGCCACTTTAGAGCTCTGGGGATTGTCGGATAGATAGCACCTGTGCATACGAGCCCAGCAGAGGCAGCGAAAGTCATATGGCTGGCATACAACAGAGACCAGAAACAATGGGGATCTGTCCATTACTGTGCCCAGGCAAGAGGATGACAAGTCCGTATGAACCACCTCTGGAACTCCATAGGCTGCCAGCCCTGTGGATTCTATTGGTTCTCCTGAATCTGTTACCAGCTGCAAGGAGTTCTGGGCCAACTATGATAAGTACCAGAGGTGCCCTTCCAGGTGCTGTTGTGACTCCCATCTTCCCTGCCCATTGGTCCTGGTGGCTGGGGCTTTTAGGAGCTGGAGGTCAACAAAATTTGGAGGGTCTCCCACTCCTCATATATGCCAACCATCTGGTCAGTGTGGGTGCTCAGGGATTCATTGGTACATGTAAGGTTGCGCCCAGGGCAGGTCCAAAGCACAAGCTTTTCTGATGGTCCACACAGCTAATGCTGGCAGGCCACACCTGCTAAGGCAGGCTATAAAGCAGTGTTTCCCCAACGTGGGTCTCCAGCTGCTTTTGCACTACAATTCCCATCATTCCTGACCACTGGCCCTGCTCGTTAGGGATGATGGGAGTTGTAGTTCAAAAGCAGCTGGAGATCCAAGTTTGGGGGAAACTGCTATAAAGTGAGAATAACCCTACAGGCGTTGTATTTTGCTATTCAGCCTCTTTTGTCTCTACTGAGCCTGTGGAAATGTGTGATTACGGAGGACACACCAGGCAGGAGAGCAGCAGGTATAAGGGCAAGTTAAGGCTCATCTCAATAACTTGATTCCTAAGTGTGCATGTGTGCCTCACTGTTAAAACTTCCTGGCAGTAGGTGTCAAAAGCCAGCTGGGCATTTTATTATCAGTTGACAACTGTAATGCACCAAACCGAAGCAGCATTTAGTAGTCCAGTTCTGATGTTCCCCCATCACTGCTGGCACCCTGCTCAACAAAGTCACAGGGATCATTCTAGTGCAATGCTAAATAACAAGCCTGCTCTTCCCTTCTCCAGCATGTCTGCAGGGAAATCTAGAACATTTTGTTCAGACAAAGTGGACAAACCCCTGCTTAGCTTAAAATGGAAGTGGTTGTGTGGCCGTGGAAACTTATACCTGAAACACTACTAAACTATGGTTTTGCTTCATGCCCTGGTTGGGTCCGACTAGCTAAGCCTTCCTGCATTAATAGCTTTTCAAGTGCACTTATGACGGTTGGGAAACTGCATTTGTAGAAGAAACTGTGTTTATTTAACCTACAGTCAATCCTTGTAAGTGGCTTGCACCGAAAGGCGACAGCACGTTACCAAATAAAAACCAAAACCAAAAGTCAGATCGTAATTCTGGGAAGCCAGTTTAACCCTGCGCTGACCAGAAAGCAGAGAAAAGTATCCGTTTCCAGTGCAACCAGTTCCTGGCATTAATTTTGAACAATTAGCAAATGACAGGCTGGTCTATGATGCAAGGAAAGGGGGGGGGAGAGGCAATAATATAGGCTATTTCCACCCCCCTGAGGTCAGAAAAGGCCATGAATCACCAGCCCCCCTCCCTTTCACATCCAGAACCTCTCTCCACCTAGGACCAAGGAACCATGTAACTGTTAATGACACAGGGATAGGCACAATTTTTACTCTGGCATCCCAGGAGAAAAAGATGGGGCGAAAGAGTCCCCACCCTTTCTATATAAGCAAATTGACTGCCCGCTGTATGGGAAACTGGATTACAAATATGAAAATGGGGGGGGGGAGGAGTAACCCACAGTCCCAGCCCATGGTGGGGGCCCGCTAGACGATCATCTCCAGCTGCCGGGCATATTCAATAACTTGTTTGGCTAGCTCTGTCGAAGGGATGGTGGCATCTTCCGGCTTCTGCTGCTGGCCTGTGAAACAGTAGTGGCTGTTTGGGCCTAGAACCCAGCCTCGCTGTAAAAGGGCAAGAGGACATTATATGAGATTCTTTGTTTTTTTAAACAACAATGCTACAAAACCATGAACACTGAGGCTTGTTTCTCCAGCAAAGGGCCCTCCCTCATCTTGGCCTTGTAGGAGAGCTGAAAATAGTGCCAATGTATTTCACATCTGGCAACCAACTCTTGGGTTTCAGATAGTACATGGGTAAAGGTAAAGGGACCCCTGACCATTAGGTCCAGTCGTGGCCGACTCTGGGGTTGCGGCGCTCATCTCGCTTTACTGGCCGAGGGAGCCGGCGTACAGCTTCCGGGTCATGTGGCCAGCATGACTAAGCTGCTTCTGGCGAACCAGAGCAGAACACGGAAACGCCGTTTACCTTCCCGCCGGAGCGGTACCTATTTATCTACTTGCACTTTGACATGCTTTCGAACTGCTAGGTTGGCAGGAGCTGGGGCCGAGCAACGGGAGCTCACCCTGTTGCGGGGATTTGAACCGCTGACCTTCTGATCGGCAAGCCCTAGGCTCTGTGGTTTAGACCACAGCGCCACCCGCGTCCCTCTAGTACATGGGTAGAGGAGTATAAAAAGCCTGGTAAACAAATTTCCACGCCCCTCCAGCAGCTACAGTGGTTCATTTACCAGAAGTAATGTATTTAACGTTAACTCTGGAAGTCTGTACTCAAATTCTCACCTTCTTGGCATAGTCTGTCATCTTCTTGGGGGTGAAGAAGAGCATGCGAGTGGCCTCATTGAACAGGATCTTCTCATAGGCCTTCTCAATGCAGCTGGCAATTTCATCCCTGGGGTGGGAGGGAAAAAACGGAACACAAGCAGGTCAGGTCACCCAGGCGGAATTCTTGGCACACAACTCAGCCGCTGTTAAGCAGGGGTATTATTATTATTATTAGTAATAATAATAATAATAATAATAATTTATTTATATTCCGCCCTCCCCAGCTGAAGCCAGGCTCAGAGCGGCTAACAACAATAAAAGTAACACAGTTTACATAAAATCACAATTAATTAATTGAAATACATTCTAAAACCAATTCATTCTAAAATCAATTCAGAATCAAATTAATGGCAACCATTGGGCTAGAGTTCTATGAGGATTACAGAAGGAGAGAGGGGGTCAGACTGTGCCTTGGCCAAAGGCCTGGTGGAACAGCTCTGTCCTGCAGGCCCTGCGGAAAGATGTCAAGTCCCGCAAGGCCCTAGTCTCTTGTGACAAGAGCGTTCCACCAGATTGGGGCCACGGCCGAAAAAGCCCTGGCTGAGGCCAGCCTAACCTCCGTGGCCCTGGGATCTTAAGCTCCACTGATGTCAAGAGGAGACGTAAGGAGGTGCTGAATTCTCTCCCACTGAGACTGATACGGGATTTCAAGGTGCTTAAGATATGGCTGGGCTGTGAGGTTACAGGGTCTATATTGTTTAAAACACATCACATATACTCAGTAATCCTCACAGCTGCTGTGTTGGTCTGTATTAACTACCATATTCCACAAAGGGATGGGATGGTGTCACAGACACAACTAGGTGGGAACTAGGCAAGTTTCTCAGGCTTTTGATAGGCGGTGTTTTTTTGAGGAATACCAATGGCAGATATACTTCAGTCTCAATTCTTACTCCTGGTGTGCACAAGAGGAAATATCACCTGCCCTTCCAGAAGCCCTTTCCCCATGTTTATAAAATGAGTCTGAGAGAGCTAAGACACCACGACCCACCTGACAGTGTCCAACAGGATGTCGATGAAGAAAGCGTAACTCTCGGCTGGGATGTTGCCTTTTGCCAGGAAGACTTTATTGTAACTGCCTTCCATCAGATACTAAGGCAGGAGGAAAGAGGAAGAGTATCGCAGAGATAAACAATTTATTAGTCAGCTTTTCAAGGTAGCTGACCAAGGCCACGACGTACAACTGATAACATAGCAATCAATACACAACAGAAAGAAGGGTGTGGTCACTGAAAATTTTGGAACAGCATATTGTCTTAATAAGGTTTTATCCTGTGTTAGAAACTCACAGATATATCAGATAGACGCCAAATGGCTCCTTAAACCAGGGTTACAGTCACCAAAACGGTATGTCTAGTTGCCATTTTGGGACCAGGCGCCTGGAAAGTCCTATTTTTAAATATGACTTTTTGGTTCCTGAAATTTGTTCTGATTGTGCTGATAAAATATCACGGATAGAATTCTACAGGATGCGTTGTTAAGTGTGTGAAAAGAGTCACGATCCAAGGATCCCCAGGCATGCACCTCCAGATGGTAGAGATGTCCGGTACCTGGGCATCTTCACCTGGTCGCAAAGGCCCAATAGCCAGGTGCAAAATGTCCCTGGCGAATTTCCAATGCTGGTTTTATCCAATTATTAACGTATTGCATTAGTTTTTGTTGTGTTATGTCTGTAAGTCCCTCACAGAACTCCTCCAAAGCAGCAACCCTCTCCTCACCTTCAACTCTTCCCTTTCCAGGACCCAACCCACCTTTTCTATTAACCCTTTGGGCACACCACTTAGGGAGAATATGTCATTATTTCAGTTACACACACAGCTTTAGAATGGGTGGCCTAGGCCCCCCGCTATCTCAGGAAAACCTTCTCCTCCCATACAAGGCTTCTTCCCACAGCGGGTTTTTAAGGTCCACGAACAAGGCTTGCTATTTTGGAAAGTCAAGATTGGTTTCCACAAGAAGCACGGCCTTTTCAGACTTAACGCTCTTGCGAGGACTGCAGTTTAGCCTTGTTTCATAGAGCGCAGGAATATAGGAAGGTGCCTCATACCAAGTTGGAGCATTGCCCTGTCTTGCTCAGTACAGCCAACACTGACTGGCAGTGGTCTACAGGGCTTCCAAGAACGAGTTGATTGAACTTGGGACCCTTTGCATGAAAGGAAAGTGCTCCTCCTACTAAGCTAAAGACCTTCCCAGAAACAAGCAGAGTTTTCAAATGCAACTGGAAGGTGCTTTTGTGTTGTTTTATAGCTGCATTAGAAAATTGCTATATTTCATTGTTTACCTGGGGGAGGTAGGGGGCACACAATAACTAAATACAGCGGTACCTCTGGTTGTGAATGGGATCCGTTCTGGAGCCCCGTTCGCAACATGAGCAGAACGCAGCCTGCGCCTGCAGGTCACAATTCGCCGCTTCTGCGCATGACGTCATTTTGTGTGTCTGCGCATGCGCGAGTGGCGAAACCCGGAAATAACCCTTTCTGGTACTTCCAGGTCGCCGTGGGACGCAATCTGAAAACACGCAACCTGAAGCAAACGTAACAAGAGGTATGACTGTATACCTCCTCTCTACCCAGTTAAGGGCACTTTGCTAGTTAAGCACTTATTCACAGGGCCTGGGAAGCAGAAAAGTAAAGAGAAGGAGAGGCGTCACCTGCTCCAAAGATACAGGGTGCTTGATGTAGACGTTGGTCTGAATGTCCTTGGCTGGCAGCCTTTCAAGCTCAGTGTGGAACTCTGCAACACGGTTCTGAGACAGCAGGAAGAGAAGGTTCAAGCCCAGCAGCTGATGCTTGTAGGCTGACTCCGGTAACTCATCTCTGAGGGGGGAAGGGGGAAGAGAGAGATGCTGAATTTGTGTTATGGAGTGCTTTAGCCAGAGACACCCGAAAAGGCACAGGAGCAATAGATCATTTGAGCCAAAGGAATGATTTTGCCTCTTCTGCTGCCCCACCCCATGGTGCTCCCATCCCCTGCACATCGGAGGAATTATGGGGCTTTTGTTTCGTTGAGGAAAAATTATTTTAAAAAATTCCTGAAAAACATCAAAGTTGGGTTTGGGGATAAAAACCCTGATGAGTAAAACAAGTATTCAAGGCAGGAATACTTACTTGTAATCAAAATAGTAGCACTTCAGCTGGGCCATGTACCTCTCAAAAGATGGGATGTCTTTCTTCAAGATACTCCACTGCGCTCCGATTTCTAGAATATCTCCTTGCGGGGCAAGAAGGGAAATGAGGGGCAGAGCATTAGCAACCACAAGCAGGGGAGTTGCAATGTTAGAGCAGAGCAAGCAGATCAAGCTGGTATCTTGCCTCCAAGTCTGGCGAAGATTACGAACAGATTTCTAACAGTAAGAGCTGTTCGACAGTGGAGCAGATTCCCTCGAGAGGCTGTGGACTCTTCTTCCTCGGGAGGTTTTTAAGCAGATGTTGGATGGCCATCTGTCAAGGATGGTATGGTTGAGATTCCTGCATTGCAGGAGCCTGGACTAGATGACGCTTTGGGACCCTTCCAACTCTATAATTCTAGGTGGCTCATATAAGAGCTGGGAGGGAGGCCCACAACATCTCTACTCCACCAGCACCTCCTGCATCTGCCACCAGGACCAGGGGCTGTGAGAGACAGCAGCAGCAGCAGTCATGCAGTGAGGAAGTTCTGGCCTGTATGGGACTAATATTTTGCTGCTTCAATTGTTGGTTCCAAGGCAGGAGACTCAGCAACAGAATGGCATTTGTGGGAACATCAGGGGACAAGAGGAGAAAGCTAATATACACATTTACCCCCCTGCTGACTCCTGTATCATTGTCCGTTTTGTCATGTTTAAAACGTATTGTAAACTTCAGCTAGCGGGTGAGGTACAAAAACTCCCAAATAAACAAATAATATGAGGCAGAGCTTAAAACACAGCAAACCAACAAATAATGGTACATAGAGAAGGGAAAAGTTTCATCAAGTTTCTTGCTCTTTTCCTTGCCCACAGTGTGATTTTGTCACTTTCTCCCAAGCCTGAGGGACAGGTGAAGATGCATTCTTTAAATTATCATCAGCAACAAGGACAGTGGCTGTTCTTGAGAACAGAGACCGTGTTGGCAGCTAAACGGCAAACTTTTGAGGGATGAATTTGCCTCACAGATTTCTCTTTGTGTTAGGAGATTCCTATCAACCTTGTGCATGGGTCGGATTATACTCACTTGCCAAGATAAGCTGCTGTTTAGTCAGTTTTGTTCCTGTTGTGGGCAGAAAGTTGAGTTCAAGCAGAGCTAACTGGAACAGAGCAGAAAGAGGGAGAGAGAGGTTACTGCTGGGGCTGATGAGAGCTGTAACACCTGGAGGGCACAGGGTTGGCAAAGCCTGGTTTAGAGCTATTGCAGTCTGACTTAACACCTTACTATTGATGGCTGGTGGCTTGAAAAAATGAAGAATTGGATGAATTTGGGGAGCCGGGAGCTGTGAACGGCTATCAGCTAAGGAAGGAAGGGAGCATTCCAACCTTAGAAGCATAATAATAATATTTATTCCCTGCCCATCTGGCTGAGTTTCCCCAGTAACTCTAGTACCAGAGAGGCCGCAACCCTTCAAAAGTTGTTAAGACTCCAGTTCTCATCAGACCCAGAAACCATGGCTGATGGGCAAGGATTAGGCACCAGGAAAAAGCTTTATAATCAGGCCTTTGGCATTTAACTATCTGTGGTCTTTCTAGAAGTGGGTGGGATGTTTTTAGTGTATTTCTTTCTGCACCTATGTGGGTTTTTATGGTATGTTTGCTTGTCTGTCTAAGTCACTTTCTGCTATCCTGGGCAAGATAAAGTGACTAACAAATTCAATACATAATAATAATAATAATAATAATGGGATGATGGGAGTTGAAGTCCAAAACCAACAACTGCAGGCTCTCGCCTTTCCCAACCCTGCTGCTTTTGGGATAGTGCATGAATGCTGTGCATAGCTGTCAACTTTCAGATTTGAAAATAAGGGATCAGCAGCCTCGAAAATAAGGGATCAGCAGCCTCACCTGTCCCGGGGACAGTCTACGGGATATCTAACAATCCGGGATAGCAGCGGGAAGCAGCGGGAAACGGCGCTGGAATAAGGGAATTTGCCGCAAACAAAAGGGAAGGTTGACAGCTATGATGCTGTGCCGAATTGTTTTGCTTGAAATCTCCATTGAGGCAGCTGGCTGGCTGCAGCTGGAGACCGGATGCTGTTAAGGACTGCCTCAATCACGGCAAGGCTCAGCGACCTGACTCAGCCAAAAGAGAGAGGCTCGTAAACAGGTTTTCAGCTCAGGCAAAAACATCTCCGCTGAGTCACTGGCCTCCTCTTCCGGCAGCAAAGGAGCCCGGCACCCAGAGGCTTGCCGGGACAGAGCCACCTCAAACAGGGGCACAGCAAACTGTCCGATGCGGAATGAGGTCGTCTGCTCCATCTAGCTCAGTACTGCCCACACTGACCGGCAGCGATCAGGCAGAGAGTTTTTCCCACTCCCGCCTGGAGACATGCGGGGGCCAAAGAGATCCGGGCTGAACATCAGGAAGAACTTCCTGACAGTAGGAGCTGTACCACAAGCGCTGGTGGGCTCTCCTTCCTTGGGAGGATCTTAAGCAGTCACTGGGATTCCTGCATTGCAGGGGGTTGGACTGGATGACCTTGGGGGTCCCTTCCAACTCTACGATTCTGTCATTCTAATGCACAATATTTAGGGATGGGAGATCGCCCTTGAAAGGTGTTTCATGCTTTTCACCCCTCAATGCAAACCACTCGCTCTCCCTGCCTCCCAGACGCGGGTTTCAGCCCTCTCTGCCCGACCTTCTCGCGGGACAAAGGCTTCCCATTCTCCTTCCTCGCCCCCTTCCCCAGCGCCTGCTTCCACTAACCACCTCACTGTAAATGGCAGTCCCCGTCCCCCGTCCCCGGCCACGCTTTCCCCGCAGCCCTCGAGATGGCACCCCAGCCAGGGGTCCCTCTTCCCCTCCTTGCCTCCCGCCCCTTTCCGACTTCGAGGGCGGTTTCTAGTGGCGCCGCGCCGCCCTCGGCGGGGCTGTTTCCAGGCTCCCCCCCCGCCCCGCGACGGTTTCTCGGTCCCCCTGCCCGTTTCAAGCGCCCCCGCCGGCCCCCTTGCCTTGAGGCGGCCCAGCAAGTCTCCGCACTTGCTCAGGCTGAGGTTCTTGCGGTTCCACTCGGCCCTCAGCTGCTCGTACATGCCGGCCGCCTCCTTCAGCCCCGCGGCGCCCGCGTCCGCCCCGTTCAGCACCGGCCCTCCGGCCGCCGCCATCACAGTCACTCCCGCTGCCATGAATCGGCAGCCGGCTGAGGAAGGGAAGGAGACGCGGCAGCAGCTGTCACAAAAGCCCAGCGCGACGTCCTCGCTTGGCGGCCGCCCGCCCGCGCGGTCTCCATGGCAACCGGCCTCGAGGCCGGCGCGCGCGCGCGCGCGTCGGCGACGCACCAACGGCCCCGCTCCCGATTGGCTGGAAGGTTTTTGGAGCGCATGCGCGAAGCGGAGTAACGGCTCCGAGCGAAGCGAGCGGAGGTGTTTGAAGTGGGGGCGCTGAGGCGCTAATTTGGGGAACTCGATGTAGGCGGGGTTTTTTTGGGCGGCGGCGGCGGCGAGGGGGAGAAGGTACGAGGACTGAGGAGAACTTTTGGGAAGCGTAGCGTCTTGAAATAGCTGTTGGCTTTTAACGTCACTAGGGTGACGTCACTAGTGGGGAGGTGTCTACGTGAGGCCCCGTGACGTCACCAGCCAAGAGGCTAGGCGTGTGATGCCAGGCGTGGGAAACGCAGACCAGTGGCACAGGCAACCTAGTTCAGTTGCTGCAGAAGTTTATTTGACAGGTTTGATTTGGTTTCTTAAAAAAACAAATTTTTATTAGAATTTCCACATTGATAACAAAAACCACAAAGCAGAGTGGTACCCAAAAACAGAAAAAGAAAAAAAAAAGAGAGAAAAAAGAACAATAAACAGATAAACAATAACAACAAACTTAATTCTTCACAAATCCAACCTTTTAAGCATCTTAGTTGACTTCCTCAAGTCCCTCCCTTCTGAGTTTCCTTGTAGTAACAGCTTTCCAATATCATTGTTAAACGAGTCCATCTTATTCACTTTTCTTAACATTCTAAATCCCATTTATTTAATTATAACTTAATTTAATCCTAGGCCTATTTGTTTTCTTTCAAGTAATTTCTAATTTTTTATGTTTGACAGGTTTCATTTGTTATTAAACAGACAACAGAGTTTATGCCAGATGTAACAGATTGAAACAGGCATTGAGAATGTGGTATTGGAGTCTCCCAAGCTGGTTGTAATGAGCGGTTTAATATCCTGGGCAAGGCCACCCTATTGGGAGGACTTCCAGGCCTCCATGACAACCATGGGGTTACCTGCAAGCGATCATTTTCAGAACACTACAGCAAGGCACCAAGGAGGGTAAATGACGAAGTACAGGACCTGATTGTTAAAGCCCCCAAAGCCAGGCCCCCATGAAGAATCCAGAGATTGTGTTGTGTATTATTTTATATACATTCATAGACACGGAAGAGCAGCCGTACATAGCGGAATACAGTGGTACCTCGGGTTAAGTACTTAATTCGTTCCGGAGGTCCGTTCCTAACCTGAAACTGTTCTTAACCTGAAGAACCACTTTAGCTAATGGGGCCTCCTGCTGCTGCCACGCTGCCAGAGCACAATTTCTGTTCTCATCCTGAAGCAAAGTTCTTAACCTGAAGCACTATTTCTGGGTTAGCGGAGTCTGTAACCTGAAGCGTATGTAACCTGAAGCATATGTAACCTGAGGTACCACTGTACGTGGAAGCAATGATGTCCATTTCATGGGGTGGCATGCCCACCTGCCAAGCTTCTAAAGACTGGGCAAGTCAAGCCCAATCTTGTGAAACTCATACCTTGTGAAACCTGAATGTGCAGATGTTCACCATATCCTAATGGATGCATCTGCTCCCAGTGCTGAGTGTTTCTGGGACCTGGGTGACCCGGCTGTGCCTTTGCTTTCTGACTCTGGTTCCTCCACTCTCAGAATCTGGCGAGGGCATCAGCCAACTACTATTTCCACACTTCTCCACCCAGCAGGGAAGAGTGGAGGTGAAAGTCCTGCTTCCCCCATCCAGAGCAGCTCTGGGAGAGGGATGTGCCTACCCTTGCCTTTGCTCCCTGGTCTCAGGCCTCCCTCTCCCACCATCCTTTTCTCCTTATGTGTCTTAGTCTGCCACTCTACTCCTGAGCCCATCCCCACTCTGGGACTCGTGACATGTTATGAGAGATAATTTTAAGCAGTTCTATCATGTTGCCTCTTACTTGTTTCCTCCAGACTGAACCCCCCAATGTTGAACCCTATCCTCACAGGGGAGTTGCTCCACCCCCTTGATCATCTTGGTAGTTCTTTTCTGAACTTTTTTCAATCTCTACCATAAGCTTTTTGAAGTGAGGTGATCTGGAACATGTTATCTTGACTTTTAGAAGACATCTGAAGGCAGCCCTCTTTAGGGAATTTTTTAATGACTGTTTTAATGTATTTTTAATCTTTGTTGGAAGCCATCCAGAGTGGTGGGGGTAACCCAGATGGATGGGTGGTGTATTAATAATAATAATAATTAATAATAATAATTCCAAATGCCATTGCCCCATAGATTTGTATACCAACATTATTAGAAAGTCAGTTTCATTTTTAATTTATTTTCTATTGGTCTCAAGATTAGAATTTGCCCTTTTCACAGCTGCTGCACACAGGGTCACCATCTTTATCAAGCTATCAGTCCTTGGTCAGACACTGCCAGTTCAGACCCCGTGAAGGTATAAGTAAAATGAAGAATTTTTTTTTGTTCATCACTTCAGACTTGTTTACACTGAATTGCATTTGCCATTTTACCACCCATTCCTACAGTTCATATAGGTTCTTTTGGAGCTCTTCACTTTTTGTTTTAACTGCTCTGAACAATTTAGTATTATCAGCAAACTTGGCCCCTAACCTTTCACCCTAATTTGCAATCATTTATGAACAAATTAAAAAGCACAGGTCCCACTACCAATCCTTGGGGGACTCCATTCTACATCCTTCCAATGGGAGAACTGTCCATTAATTCGTCCTTTGATTCCTGTTAATCAGCTCCTTATCCACAAAAGGAGAAGGCCAGTTGTGTTGTTTATTGTTTCTATTTACTTGGCAATTTTTAAGTCTTTGGAAACTGCCCTGAGCACAGTTTCGAGAGTGGAAAGGTTGGCATTCACCTATCTCAGGAGACAAAGGTGTGTGCCTGTTACTACACACAAGAGGTTAAGGCAAAAACCAGCCAAGCGAAAAGGGCCATGTGACATGTTTCTTCCTTTGTGGAATCCTAGAGGAAGGCTAACAGCCCAGAACCGACTGGTTTTGCCTTCTGTGCAGCACTTGCCAGTATGTTCCTCTGGGGTGAATAGCAGCTATTCACTAACACAGGAGAAAGCAAAGGTGTGTATTCAAAGGACAGGATTCACGTAAGACTTCAATATCCTTTTTTGACTCCTTTGAAGCTTACCATGAAATATCAAGCCAGTCCCTCTGTGGAAAGCCCCCTCTTAGGTTAGATAGAATATTGGGAAGAGGCTTGCTTATTTAGAACACCTGCATAAAAGGGTTAATTAAAAAGGTAGGGGATTGTTGTTGTTGTTTTGGCAGGTTCCTTTGCAAGGAGCATCTGTGATGTGGCAACTTTTCGCAGCTACCTTGTCCCTTGTTTTCCTGTGCATGAAACATCTATTTGCATCAGATTGCAAATGGATAGCTGTAGTCAACGATTTTGCTGACCTTGGGAGCGACCGAAAGATTTTCTTTACCCAGCGGGAAATTAAAAGGGTGGCTGAGATCTTCAAGGAACTCACAGACTCAGCTATAGACCCTGATGACAAAAATGCAGTGAGTACAGCATGCCTGGGTGTGGGAGAGGAGATCTTCCTTTCCTTCCATGACTAGCAAGGGCTCTTTGGGTTCCATGGCTCTTGAGCTGGAGCTGTTAGGAGGGTGGGCAAGAGGTCACTTAGAGAGCCCCTAGAACCAAGGGCTGAAGGGAAATCAGACAAACAGCAGTCACACATATCCTCAAAAGTCTAGGCTTAACAGAAGAGGCCAGGGCTGATTGCATCCCAGGCAAAGGCCAAGCCTGACTTGGAAGCTTTTATAATGGAGGGAACCAATGGGCTGCCTTTGTGGGTAGCGTCAACCTAGAGTTTAGGGGGAGATCCCAGTTGTGAGACCCTCTCAAACTGCAGACCTGACCAGCTCACCACAGCAGTGTATAAATCTGGAGCTTCTGCTTTCATCCTTGGAGATTCCTGACAGGCACAAGTGCTTGAATCCCTTACGGTCTCAGTTACTTTGGTTTATTTTATTAAATCAACTGTTTTATTCAGGGCTGCTGTTGGCTTTACTGGTATACTAGTCAGCCAGAACTTTCAGCTTATTACTCTTCAAGTGAAAAGAGCTATTGAAATATCGTAACGGTCTCTTTTTACAGAAATACCTGGGATTTCCATACTACCTGAAAATTAATCTGAGCTGCACACTTCAGGTAAGAGAAGAGCCACATGCTTTGTGAGGGCAAGGGATACTTACACATTGTAATTGAAGGGGAACTTTCCCTTGCTCCCCTGTTGCTTCAGCAGTGGACAGATTTGCACTATGGACATAAACTTGTTTTAAGCCACTGCTTTAAAGTGGCATTGCTGTTTCATCTGTTGCTGAGATGCATGATAATCTTGTGAGGGTTGGGTTTTTTTGGGGGGGGGAGGTGAGGTCAGCCTGCCTGATGCCCATGTCCTTTGTAATTCCTGGGGTCCTGGTTCCACCAAGGATTAAAATCGAATGGAGGATTCCATTGCTGAATTAGCCAGACAAGGCTCATAGTTGCCAACTCGGTATGGTCCTTTGTATAACAAAGGAAGCTGCTCTGTGCCAGAGGACAAATGGATGGGCTCCCCTCTCTTATTTGGCTGCCAGTAAGACAGACAAAAGCCAGGATAGTTGTGTGAGGGAGAGAGCTGGGCTAGAAGCAGGCTGCTGGCATAAGCCAGGGAGTCAGAGCCATTCTTGATTTCTGCTGGAATCCAAGGCTGTGTCTATGGGAGAAACAAGACCACTTGGGGTGTTAATGCTGCGAGCCCCTCCATTGTAGGTTTAGGTTGCATATGTGTGTAAATAAACCACATGTCATAAAGAAACCACGGTCTCCGCTGTCTCTTATTCCAAGGAAACCAAACCCTGGGTAAGTGACTGGATTGGAAAAGAAAAGAAAAAGGGCTTCTTATTCTGTGTCTTGTCAGTTACATAAAAAGAATTATTCGAACATTCCCTCCATAATAACAATCCACTATTCTTTCTTCATTTTTCCAGTCCCTTGTTCCATTTCATTCATTTCTGGCTTAATTTTATTCCTCATTTCAAACGCTTTTGGGTTATAAACTATTCTTTTCCAAACTAAGAAAATCTCCTGGAAACCTTGTTGCTGAGGTAGCCCAACGGGCGAAACAAGGGTGTATCCTGAGAACTGGTCTATCATGAGCTGCCTTATTGTTACTAAGTAGTTCTGTTTGTTACACTCTCAAGACATAGGACTATGCAGAAGGAAGATATCAGTATGAAATGGCATTGCCAACAGGAACTATATTGTAATCGTTGGACTTGACAATCTTTGGACTTGACTATCCTTGGACTTTACGACAATAAAAACATATAGAAGGTTAATAGTAATATGATATGTTATTGCGGGATAACATATCACTGCGGGAGGCAGTGGAAGACAGGAGTGCCTGGCGCGCTCTGGTCCATGGGGTCACGAAGAGTTGGACACGACTAAACGCCTAAACAACAACAACATGTTATTGCCATCAGGAGCTGTGCTTTGCATTTTTTTTGATATGACAATTACAGTTTTGGTATATATAATGTTATGTTGCTTTACAGCCAGTTACGTGTGTGTTGTGGTATTCTGAACATGATTTACGTAATGAGGCAATTGTGTGTGTTGACTGTATCATCAAACACCGACAAAATCTGGCATCTTCTCTCCCCTGTAAGTCGCAACACTAATGTAATAGTTGGATTGAGTCAGCACAGGCAAGTGACACTAGAGTAATTTTGTGACAAGGGCTCTGGGTCAACAAACTTCTTTCCTCCTTCCAGAACCCAGAATGGGCTATTCGGACAGGCCACTACACTGGACTGAGGCCGATTGTGACTGTCACTTTTTCAGAACCCGTCCACCCTGTGCGTCAGAAACAGGAGCAGCTGCAGATTGAAATGAGGGCTGCTCCGTATAGGGATAAAGGTATTTCAGCATGTCATCCCCAAGAGGCAGTGCGGAAGCAGGAAGCACAAAAGGAAGTATCTCATGAAAGAGAAGCTTCCTTTTGAGGAGCTTTGCTCCCTTTGGAATTTTTCAGCTTCAGAAAGCAAATTTTGGATGCCACTAATGGCCACAAATAACCAGACAGACAGATTGGACCCAGTTTGGCCCAATTCACTTGTAAATTCTCTAAGCTTGCATTGGGGAACCTCTTCATACATTGCATTGTAGTTTAATTGGCAGAAGGGAAGGCAGCAGTTGGATTTTCTGCCTTGGATGATAATAGCTCATTTCCCGTTGCCTCCAAATGTCTCTCTCTCTCTCTCTCTCTCTCTCTCTGTGTGTGTGTGTGTGTGTATTGGCAGAAGTCAGAACAAGAATCACATCCAAACACCTAACTTAAATAGCAGATAATATTTTGTCTCACTCTTCCGCCAACATGTGTATGATCCTGCCTCTAGCACTGGGTTGAGCAGGCATTTACAGGGATGTAGCCTCTTCCCACTTCTAGTCCTCCCTCTGTTTAGGCTTTTGGAGGGGATTCCTGCTCTGCCACAGAGCCTCTTGGGCCTGCCGATCAGAAGGTCGGTGGTTCAAATCCGCACAACGGGGTGAGCTCCCGTTGCTAACCTACCAGTACATACCACTGCATACCACTACAAGTAGAGAAATAGGTACCGCTGTGGCAGGAAGGAAAATGGTGTTTCCGTGTGCTCTGGCTTCCGTCATGTTCCTCCGTGCACCAGTAGTTTAGTCATGCTGGCCACATGACCCAGAAAGCTGTCTGTGGACAAATGCCGGCTCCCTCAGTCTGAAGTGAGGTGAGCGCCACATTCCATAGTTGCCTTTGACTGGACTTAACCGTCCAGGGGTCCTTTACCGTTTGACCTTTCCATGCCTTCTCTGCCTCCAGCAAATTGCGACAGTGAGGAAGTTTGCCTAATGTGCTGGTTCACGCCGATGCCTTTCTTGAACGGCACTGTTGTGTTGGATGTGTTGGTGGAGAGCAACGGCATCGGTCTCCCTGTGAAAAGCAGAAGGTGAGGGATACGTTTCTAGTTTGTAGACCCAGCAAGAACATTTTCACGCATGCCAGTATCTTGCTTGTGCCATATTTTGAATGAAACCTAAAACAAAGCAAAACCTGAAACTGTCAGTCTATTACAGAAAGAGAACTGGCAGCAAAGCTCTCTTGATCAGCTCAGCAGAACTAGAACCATCTTCCACCAGTGACAGTTCCACCTGGCTGTGTCTATGGGCCAAGGGGACACAGCGAGGCCTGTTCCATCCTCCTGGCTGGCGCCGACTGCGGTGTGGCTCCTCCCCTCCCAGAACTGTTTCCTGGACTGACAGTTCCATTTGGCCATTATGTAACAATTACATGAATGTGTTGGTAATTGAACTGGCTAGTTTCCCCCTCCCCCCTCCCTCCCTTTTGTATCAAGTCTCTCTGACAGCAAACCATTACGGTATTTTGAATGGAATTGACAGCTTTTAAGAAAAAGTATAAATGTAGCAAAAGAAAACACATATATTCTTTTTCTCCTTATGTATAGGTTTGCCATAAATATCAATGGCTATGTGGGAATTGTTCAAAATGAGGTGAAGATCAAGATTGGAGAAAAGGTAAAATGCTGGGGTTGGTAGCGATCTCAAGTGGCCTTACAGCCTGCTAACCACTGCTACTTGCAGTCTGCAGATGTGGTTGCATTTGCCTGTGGGGGTTAAACAGAGTTTTAGGATCCCATCTTTGGTAGCAGAAAAGCATAGGAATTAGGCAGCAAAGTCTCCTTTTGAGCAAGTCCAGCTATGAAGTAAGCTGGCTTCCTCTTCCTTACCCTGCTAAACAAAGAATCGGGCAACAACTTGCAAAGTAAGTTTGAAAATTAGATTTACTTACTTTATAATCATGCACTGGGTCTTAGTGACAGTAGCAGTAAAAACTCTGCAGTCTGCTCTTTTCATCTCTCTGCATATTCTTAGAGACTGGGGGGCGAGGCGGGGAGCTGGCTGCAGTGTGTGTATGTGGGAGATTCCCTAGATTCTTCTGCAGCTTCTTGACCCCCCTCCTCTCCAGCCTCTGCTTCAGCCTCAGAGTCTGAACTGTACTCTGGAACAGACTCTTCCTGCTCACTAAACCCTGTTGCCCCTCTAGCCTCCGGCACCTCCTCCCCGCAATCTTCTTCCTCTGACCACTCATCATCGTCCCACCACCCGTCCCCTGGCTCTGAGCCTTCTTCCCCTGGGAGTTCCCCGGCTGGTGCCTCCCACCGCTCCTCTGCATCCAGCCAGTCCATGACACTCCCTGCCTCTGCCCTTATGGGTGGGGCCTGGCACGGTCCCCCTGAAGTTTTACCCTTGGATTCTGTAGAAGGTATCTGTTGGTCCCCAGTGGCTTTGGTGTGATAGACAGACTCTCCTCTCTGGTCCCTTCTTACCAAGCACAGCTAGATTCTTTGAAGAATGTCCTGCAACTGAGAGACCCATCGCGTCCCTTGTGGTACACTTACGGACAAGCCCCCGTGCTCATCCTTGGCGGCATTCCCCGGAGCAAGATTGTCTTCATGTCGGACTCGATGTTTTTGGATTACATTCCAATAGAGGTAAAGGGGAAACGAGCCCTCTGCATAGCACATCTCTGACATGGCATCTGTGTGTTGGCCGGGGTGCGGTGGGGCTGGAACTCCCCCAATAGTTCACACATGAGCTTGGTGCCGGCGAGTGAAGTTGTAGCCGTCCAATGGTGGTGGACTTTGACTTCGGCAGACCACACGTTTTGTGCGTAGTGTGTCCCAGGTTAAGTCCCCAGCATCTCCAGATGAAAGCAGCTCAAGAGCTGACACCCTTAAACACAGAGGATGCCCATTATAGCTAACAAAGCACAGCATTGTGGGAATTCCCACACAACTCTTAACCTAGTAGGAGCTGAGCCTGTTTCCACCCTTGTCTCTCTTTGTCTCCTTTTCTGCTACAGGTGGGCATTGACAGCTGCTGGATTGGCTCCCTCTCATGCCCACAGGGTACATTCTCCTCTGCCATTGTTGATGCCATTAGTACAGAGAGCACCCTGTTCATCCGGCAGAACCAGCTTGTCTATTACTATACGGGAAATTACCCAATCTTGCATGTGAACACCTCTGGGTCTGGTACGTGAGCCTGAGAAGCCAAAAGGCACAGTTTTGTATTGGTTTTATGCCACTTTAACTGTCATGCCTTCCGTTACGGAACAGATGGAATTCTATGAGAGCTATGCTCTTCCGTTTTCCCTGGGGGCAGGGAATCCTTAGTCACGTTAACTGCCGTCCTGCCCTCAACTTGCACTGGATAGAATATGGACTAACCCCGGGTTGTGGCAGTGCATCTTCAAGGTGTGCCACTGTGGAGGACCCATCCCCATGTAGCACCATGGTTATGCCCCAGTAACTGCATTGGCAGCACAGTCCTGACAATGGAAGGGGCAAAACAGCACTGACCGCCAATTAGTTTCTGGGCCCAATTCAAACTCCTCTCTATCCTCTTTTCTATACTATGCATAATTTTACAGTGGTACCTCGCAAGACGAATGCCTCGCAAGACAAAAAACTCGCTAGACGAAAGGGTTTTTTGTTTTTTGAGCTGCTTCGCAAGACGATTTTCCCTATGGGCTTGCTTCGCAAGACGGAAACGTCTTGCAGGTTTGTTTCCTTTTTCTTAACACCGTTAATACAGTTGCGACTTGACTTCGAGGAGCAACTCATAGAACGCGGTGTGGTAGCCTTTTTTGAGGTTTTTAAAGACTTTGGTGATTTTTAAAGCTTTTCCAAAACTTTCCCGACACCGTGCTTCGCAAGACGAAAAAAATCGCAAGACGACAAAACTCGCGGAACGAATTAATTTCGTCTTACGAGGCACCACTGTATACACCTCTGTCAATGACAGTCTTATAGGAAATCACTAACATCATCATGCGGTATTAAAAACAGCACAGTGCTGTTAAAAGCCCTTTCCTTAAAAACAGCCAGTTTCCCTAAACCTGCCAGAATTAAACAGTATTCACCTGATGGTGGAAGGTGGCAAGGAGCTAGCCAGTCTAGCCTCTCTAGGAAGGGAGCTCCAAATTCTGAGAGGTTCTACCAGGAGGGCCCATTGTTGTTGGCATCCATCTGCCTCAGGAGACAGTGGAGTGTGCCCCCAGGAGTGAATTCAAACCGCTGTATGAGCAGTACCGAAGTGACCTCCTTGGGGCACAAGCCTGTGTATGGAGGTCCCGGGCTGCCCAGATGACAAGATTCCCTGAGCAAGATGTTTGGCAGCAGCTTGACTGCAGGAGTTGCCGAAAGGATGCATACAAGGCACCATCCAACCGTCTTAGGGATTCCACTCCAGATTTGTGTGGGGTTCATTCCATAGCTTTTTCTTCTCCTGAAGATATCCCACGAGGCAGTGGAGGTTGAGGATCAGTGTTTTCCTTCTCCTAGATGGGCTACCTTCCCAGGTTGATGAGCCCCATCTGCCCCTCACTTCCCTCTATAGCATGTGCAGAAACCTCCTTTTTGACTGGTTGAGTCCACTTAATCTGCCAGAGTCTGTCTGCGCATACAGGGAAGTCCCTAACTCACTGAGGGCTTGAGACCCCTCACCTGGTTTAGCCAGCCTGTTGAAGATGTTCCCAGGGTGTGACCGCTGTCACAGGTTGACAGCTTCTAGGAGCCACAGGTGAGAGCTGAGTGCAGGGTGGGGACCAAAGCACCCCAGAAGGAGCACGATGTGTCTCCCACCAGAGGTACTGTCCCTCTCCTAACACCCCATAATGCCCCCCCTCATAACACTGTAATCTGACAAACCATCTGGCAAACAATGCTCCTATGCCTTTGTAAGGTGCTTAGAGTAACTGATCGGGACCATCTCTCTCTGGAATGCGCTACCACAAGATGTTGTCATGGACTGTCATAAAGGGTATAGATAACTTCATGGAGGATAGCACTGCCTGTGACCACTAGTCGCGATACATGACCCCAGAATGAGAGGTAGGATACCTTTGGATACTAGTCGCCGGGGAACAAAAGGCACAGAAAGATATTTAACTCATGCCCTGCTTGTGGGTTTCCCAGGGGCATCTGGTTGCAGGATCCTGGGCTAGGTGGGGGCTGATCCAGCTGCCAGGCTCTTCACATGTTCTCTTCTATTTCTTTAGAGCTCTGGACACGCATATTGAACCATGTCTGCGTGAGAACCTTGAACCCAGTCTTTTTCCCAATGAATGGCTCTGAATTTGTGATTGCCCTTGGTGGCGGCTGGCAGGAAGGAGAATTCTTTCTTATCACGGTTAGAGGTATTTATCTTGCCCCACGTAGGACTATAGGACAGAATGGATGGGGGCTAGCTTGAGGAGGAGCATGCTCTTCCGTTGTTCTGTGCAACGGGGTGTTGAGCAAGACTTGAATGGTGTGGTCTCAACTGGATGATTGATGGACCGTCCTCAGGTTTTAAGCTACGTTGCTGATATGCTTAATAATTTTCAGGTATTATGGTAATTCATAATTGCCTTATTTTAATAATAATAATAATAATAATAATTTATACCCCACCCTACCCAGCCAAGGATGGGCTCAGGGCAGCTAACAAGCAATAATAAAAACAAGTTGAACGAATACAACTTAAAAACAAGACTAAAATACATTAAAATATCGAAACATTAAAATATTAAAATGCAGCCTCATCACAGGAGGAGAAAGGAAAAAGAAAGAGGGGGAGGGGATCAAATTGGCTCCAAGCCAAAGGCCAGGTGGAGCAACTCTGTCTTACAAGCCCTGCGGAAAGAAATCAGATCCTGCAAGGCCCTGGTCTCATGAGGCAGAGCGTTCCACCAGGCCGGGGCCAGTGTTGAAAAGGCCCTGGCTCTGGTTGAAGCTAATCTAACTTCCTTAGGGCCTGGGACCACTAGGGTGTTGCTATTTATGGACCTTGAGGCTCTCCGTGGGGCATACCGGGAGAGGCGGTCCCGTAGGTACGAGGGTCCTAGGCCGTGAAGGGCTTTAAAGGTCAAAACCAGCACCTTAAATCTGACCCTGTACTCCACCGGGAGCCAGTGCAGCTTGTGTTTTAAATCGTGTTTTTACTGTGTGGATGACTGGGAACATTTCCTGACAAACTGAATAAAGAAAGTGGGTCGGTTTGGGGCAGAGCATGACTTCTGGATCATAAGGAGGGTATACATGTGCTGGCAATGGGAGGCTTTGTCCATTGGAGAGTGGGAAGGGAGAAGCAGTCCACTCATTTTAACCCTACCCATGGTTCCTTTTTCTTTATAGATGGGATTGTGAAGGCTTCTGGATCCTTGAGGGAAAAGGAAGAGACAGTATGTGATTTTGTAAGGGGTACGTCCATTTTGATTTTTAAAACGTGCCTCCCCCCGGGTAGCCTCCACAGTCTCGTGCCACTATTGTGAGCTTTGTAGTGAGGGAGGTAAAGCCAGAATGGGCCATATATGTCTTTGTTTCCCTAATTACAATTCAGGACCCAAAATCCAACAATGTACCTGTACAACATGGAATGAGCTGGGTTGGGGAGAGCTCATTTTCTCCGTGACTGTTATTTCTTTATAAAATTTATATCCTGTCCTTCCAAAGGAATCCAAAAACAGCAAAGACAAAACATAAACCTTTTAAGAACAATTCTAATACAGATGCAGACCAGGAATGGTTTCTTTATTATGAATAGCTATTCTGGGCATATCTTATATATATCTTGTTTATATTGTAAACCACCCTGCGATCCTCAGATGAAAGGTGGTATAAATAATTAATAAAAAAATAACTGTATGCACTTTTGACAATTATTATTTCATAGAATCATAGAATTGTAGCATTGGAAGGGACTCCAAGGGTCATCTAGTTAAACCCTTCCATGCAGGTAACTAAAGCATCCATAAGAGATGGCCCTCCAGCCTGTCCTTCAAAAACCTCCTTGGAAGGAGAGTGAATCACCTCCCAAGGGAGTCCATTCCACTGTTGAACAGCTCTTACCATCAGAAAGTTCATCCTGATGTTTAGTCAGAATCTCCTTTCTTGTAACTTGTGCCCACTGATTTCGTTCCATTACTATGGAGCAGGAGAAAACAAGCTTGCTCCATCTTCCATGTGTCAGTCTTTTAAATAATTGGTTTTGGGTTCGGTCAGTCAACCACCTACAAATCCAGCTAACAGTTGCATTGTCCAGATATTCTCTGCGAGGACAGCATGTGGGACTTTGTCAAAAGCCTTACTGAAATCAAGATGCACTACGTCCACAGCATTCCCCTGATCCACCAAGCTTGTAACTCTTATCAAAAAAAGAAGTGAGATTCATCTGGCATGACTTGTCTTTGAGAAACCCATGCTGGGTCTCAGTAATCAAAGCGTCCTTTCCTAAGTGCTCACAAACCAACTGTTTAATCTTCTGTTCTAGGACCTTTCCTGGTAACGACATCAAGCTGACTGGTCAGTAATGACCTGGGTCTTCTTTTGAATTTTTGAAGATGGGGACAGCATTTGCCCGCCACCAGTCTGCAGGGATTTAGCATTCATTTCCTCTTCCCAGGAAATCCTGGGAATTGTAGTTCCTTGGGAACACCACTAAAGATTTCACCCAGTGTACTTAAATAGCTCCACTAAAGGATGATTCCCAGAGTTCTTTGGAAGATGACATTTAAGCTGGTATAAAAATCAACATATGGGTAAACAGAGACATAGCATAATAGTAGGAGCAATGTGGTCTGTTCAGAGTGGCCAGCAGGAAGATCTGCTCATGCCACAAATGCAAAACCTACAGTGACATCTCTTTAAATAATGCAATTTTTCCATTGCCCCAATCTTCTTCTCCCTTCTAGCTTCGGCGTGCTCCATCAAATGGGCCACTTACTCCTTGGGTGATAACCGGATATATTTGCTGGTGCATGAGACGGGAACAGACAAACACACCATTGTGGTATACTTACTAGGTTAGACTGGCTCTCTTAAGCGTTATTCGTATTGTTTATTGTACTTGAAATTCAACTTGGTGGTGTTAAAAAAATCAAAATCAAATCTATTCTGGCAGGAACCTGTCTAACAATCATGACACAAAAAGAGAAAGGGACAGATAAATAAAGAGTAAAATGAGCAAATTCAGGTGCACTGAAGTTACCCTCCCACATGCTAGAAGTGCCAAAATGTGATTTGGGGGCACAGGGGAATTGAAGGAAAATAAAATAACATTTGGAAAAGGTGTTGAAATACTGAGACCCTTTCCACTGCGCTATTGTCCTACTATATTGTCTGAAAGACATTATAAGGAACGATTGTGCAGAAATGGTTTCCTGTTCGTGGGTTAAACCACAGAGCCTAGGACTTGCCGATCTGAAGGTCGGCAGTTCGAATCCCTGTGACGGGGTGAGCTCCCGTTGCTCAGTCCCAGCTCCTGCCAGCCTAGCAGTTTGAAAGCACGTCAAAGTGCAAGTAGATAAATAGGTACCGCTCCAGCGGGAAGGTAAACCGCGTTTCCATGCATTGCTCTGGTTTGCTAGAAGTGGTTTAGTTATGCTGGCCACACGACCCGGAAGCTGTATGCCGGCTCCCTCGGCCAATAAAGCGAGATGAGCGCCACAACCCCGGAGTCGGCCACGACTGGACCTAATGGTCAGGGGTCCCTTTACCTTTACCTTTACCTTTACCTTTACCTTTACCTCAGTTTTTGAGCGTCTTGGAAGTCAAACATTTAGGCTTTTGAACGCCAAAAACCCGGAAATAACTGCTTTGGTTTTTGAACACTTTTTGGAACCGAGGTTCCACTGTGCATGGGAAAATGGAAAGTGGCAAATGTACCATCAAGTAAAGATTGGTATGATAAATTAAAGAGCTATGCTTTTCATGGCTGAATAAACCTACTTTATTAGATTTAGAGAACAAAATCAAAGGCACGATATCTGCAGGCAAAAATGGATTAATTTTATTGATCATGAGTTGTTATCAAATGTATGGATTCACTGTATTCTGATAGAAGGAAGCATATATTAGTCCAAGTCAATTGCTGTTGTGCTCTGTAGAAAATTCAGTTACAAGCATAATTTCAGTCCAACTAATTGTAATTACCGGTATACCATCTGTTACATCCTTTTCTTTTCCCCCAAGCTTATGCATAAATGGAATAAAGTAAATAAGTAGGCAATTTTAACATTTGGATGTTTTCTCTGCTCACTTTGCAGACGAAGAACATTTTGAATTTATTTATCATATCCCTGAAAAAGTTCCCAAGGGTAAGTTAGGCCGCAGAATCTGAGACAAGGCAGAATCTGCTGCTACTTGCACAAGACAACACCTGTGCACTCTGTGTTAAGCCACAAAAATTAACACCCGGGGCTCCAAATTTGCTAACGGAATTTGCAGCTTCCATTTCCCCCTTTATTGTGCATTGAAAGGGATGGGGGCGAGGATGGCAACGAAACCCTTGACCCTTCTGATTGCAAGTACAGGAGGATAGTTAAATGGCAGACAAGTCGGAAGGGGCTTTGAGTATGTATTAATCCTGGAACTCTTTGCCAAAACCCCAAGTTCTGAACCGAAGGGAATTCATAATGAGAGCAAGTTATGCAAATATGTGGAGTGGATTCATGGGGTGGTTTTACATTGCCTTGTCATGGTTCCTCACAAAGCAGCGCATAGTTTGCGGAGGGTCATCAGGATTCCCTGCTTAAGGGACAAATCCCTTGTGTCATTAACGTGTACCTGTTTTCCCCTTTAAATATCAGCCGCAGGAGAGGGGCAGGGTGAGGATCAAGACTCTTTCACTCAGGGCGGTTCCCTTCCCTGGTTTCCCATGTGTCAGTAGTGGGGAGCCCCTGGATGGCAACTCCCACCAGGCCCATTGAGCATGGCCAATGGCTAGGGATGGTAGGTGCTGCAGTTGAGCAGCACCTGGAGGATCAAAGATTCCATACATGGGGGATGGAGGTTGTCCAGCAACAGCTGTCAGACCATAGCTTCCTCAACCCTGCCGTATGCCACGTTATCACTATAATATTATATTATCCCTCATCTCTAGAGAAGTGACCCAGGAAAAGGCAGTCCATTGAAATCTGTGTCTCAGAGAAGCAAAGAATGCAAAACTGTGCAGTTTGCTCCGGTTTCAAAAAGTCAAGCTGAATCTTCAAATATGGAGTGGGAATAGCTGTGGGAAACAGAGATGGTTTCCACCACTGCATCCTTTTTTCTAGTTACTCTCATAACTGCTATCACCCCCATTTAGAACAACCATTGTAGTCAACTTCTCTTCTTTTTTCTGTTGCAGCCTCTGATAAAGGGTTTGTGTTGTTGCTAGGACTGGAGCATTACACAAACACAACCCTTATACCAAGAGGTTTGGCTTTGAACCCCTTCAGTAATATATTTTACATCTGGGGGAATGCTATCTTGCAAAGGTAAGATTCCCTACGAAAAGCCTGCTGGTGTGAATATGGTTCCAGACACCTTCCTGTTTATATTACTTTCATCTTTAGAAAATACTGAATCTAAAGGCGACCAGAAATTCCAAAGAGATTGGAGTAAATTTATTGAGTATTTGAAAGATTATTGCAAAAATGTGAAGACACTGAAATAAATCTTGTAACGTAATGAAGGACAGAAACTGGCAGTTGAAATGCGCATACAATTTATTAGAAATGGGAAAGCCAGTTGAAAGGGAAGGAGGGAAGTCATGTGCTCGGTGGAACAAAAGTATTTGATATGTATTTGAAAGGTTGTTATATTCTGTGTTTTTGAAAAAACAAAAACAAAAATTTTCTCTCAAAAAAAGAGAAAATACTGAATCTAGTGCCCAGAAATCTAAATCTGCACCCTAGTAGCAGTAGACTTTCCTACGATGTCGACCATAATTTTTGCACTCTCTTGGCTTATCTTCAGTTTTCTCACAGTGCTGTTCCTATAAAGCTTGGAATAGACCAAAAACAACAGTATTGTGGCACCTTAAAAACTAACCGTTTTATTATGGTATAAGACAGGAGCTGCCAAACTGATCCTCATTCCACCAGTGGTCCTCAAGCATCATTCAGTGGTCTGTGGTGTGTCTGTGGATTTGTGGTTGAAGATGGGAGACAGCTCATCCATTGCATTAATATTCATATAGGTTTTGTTTGTATTTTTATTTCTTATATTTCATTACAATTTGAATTCTATGGTATTCATATTGTAATGCAATGCACTACAATATATAAGAAATAAAAGAGCCCATAGAAATTATGCAGCTTCTAGCTCGGTGTATTACAAATCGGTAGCACTAGGAGAAAATGATATTAAAGGCTCTGCTAGGATCTGCAAAAGTTTTCAAGTGGTCGGGGGAGGGGGAGAAGTTGGGGAACTGTTGGCATAATGTTTTGTGGATCACAACCCACTTCAGGAATGCATGAAGTGTACTGGCAACGCCCGTTTTGCACGGAAGTTGCGTGTCTAACTGCTGTGTGCATAAGTCCATCTTGAATCCATTCGCCCCCTTTTCCAACCACTTCCGGATTGCAGCAATTTTCGCTTGTTCGTTAGGTGCGCGTAAAATGATTGTTGCCTCTGTTACAAGAAAAAACCTGCTCCTTTTCCCTTATGGGGTAGCCAAGAGCCCATCTAGAGTCCTTATGTAGGTTCTTTATCGGTAGGAGAAAATAACAGAGGCCAGCCAGAGAATATTGAGAAGCAAAGCAGCTAGTAAGCCTGATCTTTATTAAACTGTTACAACAGGGTCCTCACTCACCACATGCAGGAGGGAGGAGGAACCCAGAACATTGGTGTGCAAGCTCTTATATAGACTTTTGAAATTGCCCACCCTGGAGCCCAAGACCACCCCCCTGAAACATCATACATACATCACAGAAGGAGGCGGTCAATAGCAGAAATCCTGTTTGCCAGGGTACTTGATAATGGTCACCTGAATCCAGGTTACAGTCTCACCCAGTCATACACAGATACGCCTTTAAGACAGGATTTGTGAGCAAAGAGACAATGGGGAGGTTTTCCCATTTCCTTTGTCCTTGGAGAGAAACATTTGAGGTCAATTTTGGGAGAGTCAAAATGGTTTCAGAACTTTTTTCCTGTACTGTTTCAGACATGTGGTTTATATATTTATGTATGTGTTTGCCTGGTCCATTTATGAGCATTTATTTTATATCTTAGACCAGGGGTCAGCAACCTTTTTCAGCCATGGGCCAGTCCACCGTCCCTCAGACCATGTGGTGGGCTGGACTATATTTTTTTGGGGGGGGGAATGAACGAATTCCTATGCCCCCAAATAACCGAGAGATGCATTTTAAATCAAAGGACACATTCTACTCATGTAAAAACACGCTGATTCCTGGACCGTCCGTGGGCCGGATTCAGAAGGCGATTGGGCCGCATCCGGCCCACTGGTCTTAGGTTGCCTACCCCTGTCTTAGACCTTATACTTCTCATAACATCTCTTAATACCAACTACTGCCCTAGATTGCTGCTTAGAATCGCTTGTTAGAAGGGTTGACTTATTGCATCGTTTCAGTTTTGAGCCTAGCGCAGGGTTGACCCTGACAACCTCCTCCAATATTTACGCTATTAAGAAAGGTTGTATGAAACACTCTTCAATAGATAAGCCAGGCTGTCTTGGAGGGCTCTTCCACACTTCGCTTTCGCTTGTGCAGTTTCCCGCTTGCTCCCTTCCTTTCCAAGGGAAAACTTTAGTGATAGATCAGAGCAAATGTGAATCTGGAGAAAACTCAAAACTGCCATTTGCTCCGACTGAGCAGTAAAGCAGCAGGAAGTGCAGATAAGCCCTAAGTCAGGGTGGGCCAACTTTGGCAAGTAGTTGGGGTAATAAAGACTCCAGATGACAACTTGAGAAGTGTCCTACCAGTCATAATTAGGCCAGTGGACTGGATTGTAAGGCTAACAGCTGCCCCCGTGTTTGACTTGATACAGTAATGGAAGTAGGTTCACAAGGTGGGCAAAATAATATGTTGTGACTCCTATTTAAATGCATACATTTGTTTTTGCTCCACTCAAAATGTTGTAGGAGGTGGGGATTTAAAACAAAGATCTCTTCTTGTTTTCTTTACAGCAATGACAAGCAGAGTTATATATATCTCTCTAGCTTCCCGAATGATTCCCCCATCAAATATTTCGTTCAGTCGTTTACTGGGGAAATTGCCTTTGTGACTGACCGAGAGGAGGTATGTCTGCTTATCTTTCTCATGGATCCAGTGGCTGGCTGTTTTAGAGCAGGCATGTCAAACAGGTTGATCGTGATCTACTTGTCAATAGCCTGGTCGATCCTGGTTGATCTTTGGACCCCCTGATTGATCTCCAAAGAAAGAAAAAAAAGCTCAACAGCTCTGGTCAATCGTCTAATGGTAGATCACTGCCAGTTCTTTTATACTGTGAGTAGATCGCAGTCTCTTGTGAGTTGGACATGCCTGTTCTAGAGGAACAAGGCTTAATATTGCTGAGGAACGTATGATTTCTTTCTTTTTTCATAACCTTTATTTTGAAATGCAAAACAATAGAAACAGGACAAAAGGCATCGGCCAACAGGTACAAAACAGTTTATTTAAACTATTTGTAGTCTACCTTTCTGTCCTTGTGGAATTCTCAGGGTGGCTGACAAATAACACACACAGACACACCAAACTAATGAAATTATAGCAGAACAGCAAGTGGCAGTAATAAAGGACATTTTAGGAATTTATGTTAGAGCCATTATATAAACCAAAGATTTCATATCTTGTAGTGTATAATCTAGCCCTATTCATATTTATTCAGAAGGAAACCCCAGTGATTCGAACAGGATTTTTTTCAGGTGTTGTGTTCCCCACCCATCTGGCTGGGTTGCCCCAGCCACATTAAATAACTACCGTACACAGGGCTGCCTTCAGTTGTCTTGTAAAGGTTGTATTGTTATGTATCTCCTTGGCTCAGGGGTTGGATAACTATACCTTCCAACATTTTTCCGATGAAAATAAGGACATGTTAATGCAAGTGAGATTGCTAGTCTCTTAATCATTCTGCTACATTATCAACCCAGCTGTGTGTGTTTGTGTGTGTGTACACACACACACACACACACACACACACAGAGCACTACATCGCTTGAGCATTACTTTCCCCCCCTCTTTCTAGATTTGGGTTTCCAAAGAACTTGGCACAGAGATTAAAAAGGTATATCCATCAGAAGCCTGGGATGTGTTCAATTATTTGCAGGTGATGAGAGGCTCACCACATTATAGCTTGACCCTGAAACATTCCATACTCACCATTTTCTATATCGATGGACAGTTGGAAGAGGTGAGTGCATTAGGCTGTGTTTGCCTTGACGGGTAATCCGGGAGGTAGCTGGTTTGAAAAGGGAGCCATGTCACCACTCAAGGCATGTGTGGTGGTGTGGAGGCGCTCTCTTGAATCTGGAGTCACCAGTGCTATTTTTCTAGAAAAAGAATGCCAGAACTCTCCATGAATGGCTCCCTTGTTCTCTTATACAGTGGTACCTTGGGTTAAGTACTTAATTCGTTCTGGAGGTCAGTACTTAACCTGAAACTGTTCTTAACCTGAAACACCACTTTAGCTAATGGGGCCTCCCACTGCCGCCGCGCTGCTGCTGCGCAATTTCTGTTCTCATCCTGAAGCAAAGTTCTTAACCTGAAGCACTATTTCTGGGTTAGCAGAGTCTGTAACCTGAAGCATATGTAACCTGAAGCGTATGTAACGTGTATGTAACAGGTAGCACTGTAATGACAATGGCACCCATTGGACAGGTGCCAGAACTGATTTCCAGCTGAAAAAAAGCCCTGGATGTCACTGCTGTTTATTATTGAATAAATAATAATAGCTGGCTGAGGCCGAGGCAAGGCCTTGGTGAGATTTAATTAGGGGGCACTGCTGGGAGTGCTGATGCTGTCCCCACGAATCCCCAGCCTTGCCATTGCCCCAGCTCCAAATAAGTAGGAGACATCAGATCAACAGCCGTTGTCAAGAGAGCAGCTCCACCCAACTCACCACTGCCGCTCACATACAGTGGTGCCTCGCAAGACGAAATACGCGCAAGACGAAAGAGTTTTCCGTTTTTTGAGTCGTTCCGCAAGACGAATTTCCCTATGGGCTTGCTTCGCAAGACAAAACGTCTTGCGAGTTCTTGCGAGTTTGTTTCCTTTTTCTTAAAGCCGCTAATTGCCGCTAAGCCGCTAATAGCCGTGCTTCGCAAGACAAAAAAACCACAAGACGAAGAGACTCGCGGAACGGATTAATTTTGTCTTGCGAGGCACCACTGTACTGATCTGAAACATTTGGAATTGAAAGTAACACTGTGATGTACACTCTTGCTCTTACTGCCATTGCTGTCTTGCTTGGATTCTCATCATATTTGCAAGACAAAGAGCTGGCCAGCTGCTCAGGTTGGTGGCAAGGTTTTCCTAGCAGCAGCAGAGCTGCTAGGGCAGTTAGGGACCAAAGGTGGACAAACTACCCCAGAAGGAGCATCATGTGTCCCCCCACCAGAGGTACTACCCCTCCCCTAACACTCCATACACGTACATCCCATTACATTATAGACGTACATCCCATTATGTAACAAAACACTAGAGGAGAGGTGATAAATTTAAAACGTGTTTTGTGTACCTGATTCCTCTAAATCTGTTAACCCGGGCTTCTTTTCTTTCAGCTGGTTTATTTGGCGGATACTGCAGACAATGGAAGATTAGTCAGAAGGGAATTCCCTCTGAGTCATGTCCTTGCCTATGACCTGTTGATAACAACCCCTAACAAAGAGATGAGACACAAGTGAGTGGAACACACAAAGTGTGGTGTCATCACTTTTGAACTTTTCTCAAACATCTGGCAGGGCAGAAGTTTTGCAAAGGCTCTTCAAAGTCTCAGGCCTTCTGTCTCATTCATTTGCAAGGTACCTGGGATCCATTTCCTCTTTCAAATCTTTTTTTCTATCCTCTCTCTGCAGCTTTTGCAACAGCAGACTATGGATGATGGGGGCTCTTCACCTTAGATTAGAGGCCTTGCTCAGGTCTCCAGTGCTTCTCCTCAACCAGGGGAAATAACTGGTTGCAGGAGCAGCTAGCAGCAAGGGGTATCATCTCATACCTGACCTCCAGTCAGCTGCAGCACTGTACTTTACTAGGAAGGGGTGGTGATAGCAAGCTTGGCAAAGCTTCTGCTTTCAGCCATGTTAGCTAAGACGATCAACTTTTATTTCACTGTAATTTGTAAGTATTTTTCTGCACACTACTTTGCTGTATTTGCTGCCTGCATTGAAATGTAAGTAAACCTTTTTCATTTATGTAACTAAAAATGTGTAGTTCATTCTCTGCTATGGGGATGAAGAGGGGAAGGTCAGCAGACCACATAAGAAAGAGCTAGAAAGGTAGAACTGCCTAACTCACAGGCTTTAATAAGCTGCAAAATTATAAGCATTCTTACTCTGCTAAAAAGGCTTCACTTTTTTTATTTCTCACAGAAACATGGGATTGGAGGTTTAGATCTAAATCTACGGATTTAATCCTTAATTCATCTCCTACAGTATTATGCCCTGAAATTTTTGGACAGAGGGCAGAAGCTATAGGGCTTGGGGGTTGTGTTTAGAATCTGCTTTTTGTATGGGAATTTGCAGTCAGAATAATTTTGCTTGTTTTGGTGAATAAGGATATGAAGGGTTCTTCCTGATGACAAGAGAAGGCAGTGTGTGACATCACTTCCTTTGAGTTCTCTGATGTGATAAAGGCAAAAGGGTTTAATCTTTTCTACTTTCCCCTGCTTCAGAACTCAGCCCACCATGCTTCTGAGGCAGGCCTCTGTTTGGTCTCCGCTTCTTTTTGAATTAAAATATGTATTTTGTAGGGATGCGGGTGGCGCTGTGGGTTAAACCACAGAGCCTAGGACTTGCCGATCAGACAGTTGGTGGTTCAAATCCCCGTGACAGGGTGAGCTCCTGTTTCTCAGTCCCTGCTCCTGCCAACCTAGCAGTTCAAAAGCACGTCAAAGTGCAAGTAGATAAATAGGTACCGCTCCAGCGGGAAGGTAAACGGCGTTTCTGTGCGCTGCTCTTGTTCACCAGAAGCGGCTTAGTCATGCTGGCCACAGGACCCGGAAGCTGTACGCTGGCTCCCTCGGCCAATAAAGCGAGATGAGCACTGCAACCCCAGAGTCAGTCACAAGTGGACCTAATGGTCAGGGGTCCCTTTACCTTTACCTTTATGTATTTTGTAATCTAGAAGTAGAATTGGCCTGCCTTGTTTTCATCACTGTTAACTGCTAGAATCAGGTGCAAGACCTTATGTAATTAACCACTATTTCATAATCTGCAGCCTGTTGCGTGATTCTTTTGATTAAGAGGGAAAGGGAAAAAATCCAGCCTAAATAAATTGCAACAAGGCTACACAGCCTAGTCCCAGATTTTCCACTTTAATGCTGCAAGGGATGGTGTTTTAAGCTCTCCTAACATTTGAACTTTCTACTCACACCACTATAAAATCCATCCAACTGTTTGTTCTTAGTGGATTAGACTACATCAGATTCGCCCACCTTTGCCCATTTGCTGTTGTGCGCTATGTGGACCTACCTCAGCCACAGGAATTCACCCGGATGGAACATTATTTTGCTATGCCTCCTGAGATCATGGAAAAAACTGGCTTTCATGATGAGAAGTCGCTGATTGTGTACCAGGGACTCGTCTATCAGCTGCTCCAGTTGCACTCATCTTACCACAGAGTGAGGATACCTTTTGTTTATTTGTGTTTCTCTTTTGAGGGGCTGAAAAGTCGCTGGCCTCAGAACCACCAAAAGACACAGGCTTTAGCTTCTGTCTGGCAGCAAAGTCCTCAAAGCTAAGTCCCACCCCCCCAATCCAAAACAGCTGTTGAAACTAACAACGATAAACCAGCAAAAAGAAAATTGTGTAAAGGCCTTTTTTTTTTTTAAACCAGCTGCCTAAAACAACCAAGTGATTGCATTCTTCATGGCAAAGCATTCTGCTGTTTGCGCCATAAATGCACATGTTGCTTATGCAAATTAAAGTAAGCAAAATAAAGGTCGCTATCCCTTGGACTTACTATTTAAACACAGGCCTCAGCCAGTGGAACCCCTGATCCAGCATCTATTTCAGGGCACTCAAGCTCAGTTGTAACATTCCTGAAGAGCAGGGGTCTGTACGGTTTACCTCGCCTGGGCTGGTTCACTCCGGCAGAGATCCCTCTGTGGGCTGGATTGCGTGTGTGTGTGAGCACGCGCGCCTGCAATTTCCGGTGTCTGCGCAGGCGCGATTTCTGGCCCTGCAGAAGCAAGTCCCCATGCCACGCTGCGCCGGTTTAGCATAGCACGCAGGGACTCGCCGATTGGGAGGCTTGTGGGCCGGTTAAACGACCCCCGTGGGCCGCTTGTGGCCCATGGGCCTTAGGTTGCCTACCCCTGCTGGAGAGGATGTTTTGGAGAATGCTGTCTGGCATCATAGAGGGAGATCCAATGTAGTAGGCCCCCCCTTCTGACCCTGTCGGCCTCTCTGAAGCCCTGGCTCAACTGGAGTTATAGATCCTCCATGTAGGGAAGCACCTGGAATCTGAAGCCCCCCTGCTGCTCTGATTTTCCCTCCCCCTCCTTGGGATAAAAATTTAACTACACATTTGAGCACCTCTAAACTGCTCCCTCTCTTTTCTTGCTAATGGAAGGAAAAACATTTGAAAGCTTTTAAAAATGCTTTCTGCAAAGGTCCCTACTGTTTGCTTTAGTTCAACAGTGTTGGATGAGGCAGCTAAATGACCTTTGGATTTCCTCTCCCCACCCCCCGCTTTTGATTACATCCTTCTTGTCCAAGTGAGAGATGCTTCACTCATCATCATAAGCATATAAGAATCTTCTGTCTCCACTGTCTCCTTAAATAGCGCAGCAGACATCCCACTTCCAGTAGTCAGAGGGAAGGCCTATGTAAAGTTCTAGCCTCCTATAACTCTAGAATGTTCCAATCTAATAAGAGCATGAAGGGGTTAAACCATAGGCTAAGCCTGGAGAAGAAATGAGTGACCAAGCCTTTGGTATCTTTCATTCCCCATGTGGACTTCAGTATGTAAGGAGCTCTGAACTGGTCACTCCAGACTCCTGACTTTAACAAGCATCCTTTGTTTCATAATAGTAATTAATAATAATTGTAGTAGTAGTAGTAATACTAATTTATTTATACCCTGCCCATCTGGCTGGGTTTCCCCAGCCTGCATTCTCTCTAGAATTTCCCCTCTCTATCAATAGTTTAGAAACTTTTACCTTCTGTAACTACACAGTGTTTTAAATGCCTGTGCATATTTTCTGACCGCTGTAAGGAAAAGCACATGAATCTGACCTTTGAATTTTGTAAGTAAACCTTTTTATGACTTGCCAAACATGTGGTCTGGCTCTGTGCCAGGGAAGTGGGACAGATGGAAAGAGCTTCTAGAAGGGGACATTTTGGGACTCAAAAGGGCACATATTAAAGGTTTCACAGACTATATTTCTCTGCGGCATGTTTTTGTGATGTTAAATCTCTGCTGGGCTTCTCCCACCAAACTTGGGTCTTGGCTTCCAGGATTCCAACATGCCAGCTTACTATCTCTCATGCCACTGTCTGTCTTTCTTCAACCCCTTCCTCTTAGGAGCTGCCACCACCTGCCACTTCATCCACCCAGATCGGTTGCCATGACCTCTGCTTGGGTGGACCACAGCAGGGAGGTTTCTATGCTGTCCCACACTAAATAAAATTGTATATTATTTCTGCATTTCTAAACAGGTTTTGCTGCTAATTTAGTGATAGTTTTTGTGAGCCTGCCTGTCTTCAAACTCACCCTTACCAATTCTTTTTTTCTCCCTAGGCTTATGCTGACCCAGTCCATGACCCCACATGGAGATGGTGGAAGAACAAGAAAGAGGATGCGGTAAGAACAAAAATTTTGAAAAGCATTCCTTAGAAACAACTGCCCTCACCACTCCATGATTAACATTAACCTGGTCTTAAACTTTCTTTTTTAAGTAAATAAAGTGATTTTGATATTCAAGGAGAGAGACACCTGAAGACACCATTTTTTTTTTGACTGCTTGCTAAGGGATTTGACAGTCAGTTGATGTGTGATAGACACACACGCAATATGAATCATTTAGTAATGAAACAGTCATAATTTTGATGTATGAGTGTTTCCTTTTCCTAACCAACATGCTTCACCTTTAACTGCTGCAACACCCAAGTTTGCACCTGGGCTTTGCCCCTGTCTTCACTGTATGCCTTACCTTAGGCAAGCCAATACTTACCAATCACACTGTCAATAGATAGCAATACTGGCCTACTTTCCAGGGCTGTTGCAACCATGACTAAGGTACAGTTTATGGAGCACTTGGAAGGAAGAGACAAGGGGGGGGGAGCAGAAGATAATCATTTTCTTGCTTCCCAGGAATACTACACCTATGTGGCAAGCAACTGGAACACCTCGGCAGGCATCTATGTCGACATGGCCAACTACATCAAGATGTACGATCAGATGCCTGAAAACTTACTGCCTTCCAAGCTCTACCTGGACAAGCACACCGAATACACCTTCTCTCTGTACCTGAGCATGAGAACAACGAAACAGAGCAGTAAGGGGTGTTGAGCTCAGGAACTGCTGTGATGGAGGAAGGGAGGGGTGGATCTGTCACATAAAACACAGCAGTTACAGGGCATCTCCCACACCTAACTGAGAATGTAATGTTGATATCTACTGTGAACTTCTTGTTTCTTGGGCATGTGGTGATATCTAAGGCCACACTTAATGAAGCCATGATGTCAACACCCTCCCAATAAGCTGTTTTTATACACACACACACACACACACACACGATTCCTTTAAAAGAGGCTCTGTGGATACACATGTTTCACGGGGCCTCTTTTAAAAGACTCACCCTGTATATATGGATGTCTTGCAGTGGTAATACGAGTTGCCCTAGGCTGTGCTTCCTCCTAATTTTGACTTGTGATCCTCCCGGCTTTTCTTCTGATTTATGGTTCTACAGTAGCACAGACATGGAACAGAACTGAGGGGCTGACAGAGGGCATGTCATGGACTGGCTGGACACAGAGGAATGGGCGGCGGGGGGGGGGGCGGGGGAGGAACCTGGTGGGGAATACCCAAGGGAAGAAGGCTCAGGGCCCGGGGAGTGGTGGTGGGGCAAGGATGAGTGGTAAGAGGGAGCAGACTGGGAGGCGGAAGCTGAAGAGGTAACAGGGTTTAGTGAGCAGGAAGAGGCAGCAGCAGAGAGCAGTCCAGAAGTAGCGTCAGAAGCAGATGCTGGAGAGGAGGGAGGGGCAAGAAGCAGAGATGGGTCAGGCTGGTAAAGAAGCCAGGGTGTCTCCTCCTCTTGCTGTGACCAGCTCTCCTCCTCCCATGTCTCCCAGAACCTGAAGAGGGTGGAGCAGAGACAAACAAGGCGGAGAAGGCTCAGATTGCTTGGGAAGGACCTGGGGCAGGAAGCAGTGTAGGCTACTGTGGGAAAACAGGGACCTTCAGTCCTTGTAACTGCCTCATTGGGGCAAGATCTAACGGGAAGAGTTGCTGTGCTCACTAGGCCTGGTCTCTGGAGCTCTTTGTTTCTCTGAATAAAGAGTTAACTTCGCTGACACCATGTGAGTTATTACTGACCTGCTCCTGGCACCCCATGGGAGAGGTCTCCAGAAAAACCGTGATCACAGGTTTTCTTCTCAGCAGTGTTACTTATTTACAAGATTTATGTTCCATCCCTCTTCACGGGATCTTACGGTGGGCCACAACAATTCAAGAAACAATAAGAACAAAACGGAATACAGTGGTGCCCCGCAAGACGAATGCCTCGCAAGACGAAAAACTCGCTAGACGAAAGAGTTTTCCGTTTTTTGAGTCGTTCCGCAAGACGAATTTCCATATGGGCTTGCTTCGCAAGACGAAACATCTTGCGAGTTCTTGCGAGTTTGTTTCCTTTTTCTTAAAGCCGCTAAGCCGTTAATAGCCGCTAAGCCGTTAATAGCCGCTAAGCCACTAAGCCGCGCTTCGCAAGACGAAAAAACCGCAAGATGAAGAGACTCGCGGAACGGATTCTTTTCGTCTTGCGAGGCACCACTGTATACTAGAATAGAATAAATAGAATACAGTCATCCTCTGCCTACTAAATACAGTATATCAGATCGAATAGCCATGTGACCCAGTAGGCAGACAATAGCCCTCAGACTCAAAAAGCCTGGTGGAAAATGAGTTTTCTGCTGGTGCCGAAAGATAACCAACTTTGGCATCAGTCAGAGCTCGAAGCAGAGAGTTTTCCATAGCTGGGGTGCTACTGCCAAGAAGTAAGAGGGGGTCATATCTCACATGGTTGCTGCATGCCCAGCGAGAAGAATATTCATGGCAAGCACCAACACTCTGTTCCACATGTACATGCCCTATTCTTTTGCATTGGCTGATAGCTTTTTCATTTTGCTTGCAGTGGGGGAGTCAGCAGATGAAAATTCTCTCCAAAACATATGGCTCACTCTCATCTTAGCCCATCCTGAATATATTCATACACATCTACATAGGCAAGAGCTCATCAGCAGAGGTTCAGTACGATATGTGGTAAGGGCCTCTCAAATCCTAGATGATGAAATGAGGCAAAATCCTCCTTGAAAAGTCAGAAATGCAGGCTTGCTCCGATCAGCATGTTGAAATGTGAGAAACCTGAACCCCATTCTTATTTTGAGACATATTTGAAACTATGCTTGCAAACTTTTGTTTGTGTAAAATTTCTGGCATCTCTGAGCATATACAGAGTGCCTTTTTGCAAGTGTAAAGAAGGCCTACAAATATTTACTTTCTTGCGTGCCACCCCAGTCTCTGAGCTTTGTGTGATTCCAGGCGCTTACCCAAGGTTCAGTTTCCTCGGAATGTGATGTCTTTATGTCATATATAGCTTATTTACACACACACACATCCTGAGTCTACGATGGAGGAGCTTATAGCATTGCATCCCAGAAGGTCTTGTTTTTTCCATAACCACATTATATGATTTATAGCCTCTCTTCACCTTAAGGTTCCAGGATGGAATACAAAATATATGGTAAATCACAGGATTATATATATCATTAGAACCAATATAAACAACAGCCAGAAATGTCAGTACTGCTGAGAAGAAGCACCGTGTTATTTAAGGGTGCATCACTGGGAAGCAAACAAAGATTCCTGACATGCGCTTAGAGGGTGGCAAGATTTGTTATTATGAGTATTCTTGGCCATCCATTCTGCACCATTGAGTGGCTCACAAGGGGGAAATGCCATTAGAGAGCTGGTTTCTTATTAAAACTGATTCCATTTTAAACTCCTGTTTCTTTTGCACCACTGCATCTCTTCGTCCTCACAACAACAGATAGAAATTTATGACAAAGGTGTTTACCCGTATCAGCAGCTGAGTGGGAAGAACCTTCTGAAGAGTTCTCTTGGCTTAAAGGTAAGAAGGCAGTCTTTGCTGAAGTTCCAGGGTCTTGTCTTCTATCACAAAATTGTTGCTCTTGGGCTAGGATAGGCCACCTGGTGCCGCTTCAGTGTACCAAAGGTGGCACATGAAATCAGTCTCCTGCCACACTGCTTCTTGCTTCTGATCTGTTGAGTTGTACTCCTCTGGTATACAAGTGGCTAGAATTTGCCTTTCCCCTGACATTTGCTTGGCTTGTATTTACTTTCCCCAGGTTGCACACTCGGGAATGAACTGCTATGAGTACACATCCAACGGACCACGGATAAGGGTAAGGGTGGTGTAATGGTTCAAGGGGTTGCTCGTGCGTAAGCCGGTGCCCACACCTGGCTGGGTTGCCTAAGTGAACCTTTTCTGTCCGGACAGCCACTCACCCGTGGCTGTCTCAATCGCTGGCAGAATCCATCAGTGGGCGTTTCTTAAACTTCTTCCAGCATAGAAGTTCTTTCACGCCCAGTCGCCTCCTACTTTCCCTGCGCGGAAGCCTTCTGCGCAAGGAAGGCGTAGGCAGCGGAGGACCCTTCCTCCCCCCACTGGTCCCAGGCAAGGGGTCATGTGACTCCCTCTCAGATTCCCCCATCTGCCCCCCTTCTCCACTGGAGCTGAGCTGATTCCCTTCCCCAGAAGATGGGCTGCTTCTCCCAATCCCGTGACACTCTCTGGGATCCCTCTGGAGCTCTCTCCCTCCGGCACTGATGGCAGTTCCCTGACAGGTGGCTTGGATTGCTTGAAGGGAAGATAATTTCTCTCAATTCTCTCCTCCTGGTAGCAGCCCTGGAGGAGGCAGTTGGCACCTGATACTCAGGATTTCCAGTCTGAATCCCTCCCCAACATGGTACCAGCTTCCTGTACCAATGCTGAAAATTTTTGAAAGCTTGTCTGGGAGAAGCTCGGTAATTCTGGAAAGGCAGCTTGTTTGCCATGAATAATCTTCCTCTGCAGCCTGCAGCTGTGGGAATTGTTTAGAGGTGTCGCGGCCACCTTGACCTGCCTTGCTTTTGTTGAGTGGCAAATTAAGCAAGCCATATTTTTCATCTCCAGACTGTGGCATAATGTGAGGGGGACGAGGGGGTCCGTAGTCCCGGGTGCAGAATTATGAGGGGGCGCAACCGGGTGCCCCCATGACAAGGCCACATGGCTGCCATCTTCTGGAGCCACGGGGAGGTAAGCCGCACCCGAGCGGTGGTGCCTCTTTCTCCTCATGGCCGCCTAAGGGGTGCTCACCCCTGGGCAGAACTCCCACCAGCTGGAATCTGGACTTTTCTGGCCTGCACCACTCCTTCCCCAGGGCCTCCCTTGGCTGAGGCATGTGCTCTGCAGCAGGAGCATAGAAGGAAAGCTGCCCGCTCACCTGGGACCCGCTGGCACCTGCTCTTGTGCTGTGCAGCCAAGGACAGGCAGCCAGTAAAAGGCTGCACTTGGCACCTCAGCCTGGTCACCACCCTCCTCGTAGGCCTGCTGTATCTGCGGCTCTGGTGCTGCTGAGACACCACCAAGCCAGCCAGGGATCATCAGCCACCGCTCCCACCAGGGGCTCACCAAGCTGAGAGGGCAAACACTGTGACCAGCAGGCAACCTCTGTGAGGAGTGGCCACCGCAGGGGCACAACAAAGTCTGCCTGTTGCCTTCCGTGCGACACCTGCCAGGAGGTGCAATCCTTGCCTTGCCAGAAAAAAATAATCAAAAAAATTCCTGCAGGCCAGACTTCTGTTCCAAGGCAGAGGAGCAGAACTAGTACGAAAACGTGGTGAGTCCTATCGGGTGTATTCTAGAGAACCCTTCATGAAGGTCAAGGTGAAGGTACCTTAGGCATTGACTGAGGGGTCCTCCAAGGAGATGCCTATCCAAATTATCCTCTGCAACATGCAGGGATTCTGCAGCAGACACAGAGGTGAAAAGGGGTCCTTTTAAGAGAGGGAGTTTGCAATCCAATGTTCTAAAAAAGAAAGAAAGAAAAAAGGCCACTTCTCTTTTCCAATTTACTTGCCCCCACAGGGCAGTTATGTGTCGACTGTCTACATTGGATGTCCCCCAGGCAAGAGGCTAGCTTTTGACATTACTTCCACTAAGAATGAGACTACCGTCAAGAACAAGCGCTACTTCGATTGTATCAAGAAAGACCCCGAGATGCCTTGTTTCTCCTTCAATGATGGTAAGGCTGGGGTGAAGTGGGGTGTCTGGGTGGGTCAGATCTGTGAGGCTTATAGATGAAGTTAATTAAGGAATGATGGGTGCCAGGCAGAAGACAGATGGTGATACCACACCTGCTTGATTCATTTGCAGTGTTTTACCCTTCTTTTTTGATCCAAGATATGGTGACAGGAGACTCAGGACGTTTCAATGGAAGGTAAGGGCTGAGCTGTGCTTTTGATGACATTTTGTCGCTTTGCTGAACTGAAATCAGTGAATCTCCACTGAGCATATTGTTCAAAGGCTGGGGGGAGGGTAAGATGGAGGCACCTAGGTCAATGCCAGGGTGCCCAGGCTTTGGGGCTGGTATGACCCAAGACGTTTTCGCTGGGGACTTCCAGGTAAAGCTGCAGGCCAATCAGAGGAAGCCCTGTTGTCGCTAGGGATGGACAGAGAAGACTCTTTCCGGTCCCTTCCATTTTTGTATATGTTCGAAAGCCCATTCCACCCCATGTCCACATTAATTTGCAAATCTGCATCTAGATACATGTTTTTAATACATTTTCTCTCAAAATATGCAATTTGATGCATTTTCTTTTTGAACTGAGAACTGCATCGTGAACTCTGGAGAGGTGTGGTATCTGAAGGATAACTTCTGATCTGCACCTTGATTTGAGTTGATTGGGTCAGTTTGTATCAAAACGCACCAAGAACAAATTCCTCAAGAGTCCCTAGTTGCTATGTGACACCCTTGAAGGCAAGGAAATTGTCTGACAGGTATACATTTGTACTAACAGTAGACCCCAACTGATCTAGCATCACGGCTAAGGACATGGCCAGGAAACCTCTGCCATGAGCTTAGCTTGGTGGCCAGAGGCAAGTCTTCACTCGATGGGACACACAGGGGATCCATGAATAGGATATCCTAATTTTTTAAAAGGGAAAGGTACCTGGGAGGATTGTGGTGGCCCACGTACCAGCATGCCCAGAGGAAATGGGTTATTTCGACCCATTTTAACTTGGTTTCAGGCCTAGGAATGGCTCTAAAACTGCCCTGGTTGGCAACCTTTATCAGGCGAGATACAGAAGGAAATGCTCTTGTTGATTCCCCTGACCTCTCAGTGACTGGTATCCTCTGAGAGTGGGTCCCCGGCTTGTTTGTTGTTTGTTGTGGGGGAGAAAGGGAAAGGAGAATGTTAGCCGCTTTGAGACTCCTTAGGGTAGTGATAAAGCTGGATATCAAATCCAAACTCCTCCTCCTCCTCCTCCTCCTCTTCTTCTTCTTCTTGCTGTGGTAGGAGAAATGGCAGTTTTGTCCGAGCTGTTTGTGAATGGGTGTGGTTTTTTTAACTGTTAAAGCTTGTGCAAACTCACCTCCATCTTGCTTATTCTGCTGGCAGCTACATCTTCAGAGTAATTGGTGGGGGACCATTTTCGATAGAAAACATCAGATACTTCAGTGAGGAAGAAATCTTTAACTACAACACAATGAATGGCAGGTGACTACATTTTTTCAGACTCCCACAGTGCCTAGCATTGTGACCTTAGCTGTTTAGTATCTATGTCTTATTCAAATGCAACATTTTTAGTCAGTTTAAAAGACCCCCATTTGGGACCAGTCTTTCCAAGTCTGCGCACCAGGGCATGTGAACATGCCCACGTAAGAAAAGTGCTGGTTTGCCATATGAGAGTGAGAGAGCACAATTAAATAATCACAGGCTCCTGTGGTCCCCCAACTGCCTATGCACAGAGGAGGCTGATCCTCCAGCCGGTTCACTCCTTCCAGATGATTAAGGTGAAGCAATACCTCAGCAGTGCTAAATGGCCCTACTGCAGAAGCAGCCAATGGCTGCCTTCTCAGAATCGTGGACAGAGGAAACTGTCTCATACTGCAACAGACCATTGGATTATTCAGTCCAGGGACTGGGGACTTGCTGAATTCTGACGACATCTGGAGGGCCACAGGTTCCCCATGCTCTATAGAGCCCACTATTGCCAGTGCACTCTGACTGGCAGTGTCTCCACAGTGTCTAAGAAAGGGGGAATCTTTCCTGGTCCTTTTTCCTGTAACCATTTAACTGGAGATATCAGTGCTCAGACCTGGACCCTTTTGAATATGAGGCATGTGCTCTGCCTACTGATCTGTGGTCCCTTGGGTTGTGGCTTACAAACAGCCACTTGTCTGGTCTGTGATGAGAATTGCCTCCACTCTGGGGGATAGAGCAGAGAAATAGCTGTGAGCTGCAGTGCTTTTTTTTCTTTAAAAAAATGTTTAGGGGTACTCTCATTTTGACTCAAGAAAATCACCATTTTATTGTTCAAAATGCGAAAAATAAATACAGCAAATAGACAAAAGTACAAAGATTCACAAAATGTGTAGGGGTATGCATACCCCAGCGTTCCTCCAGAAAAAAAGCACTGGTGAGTTGTAAGAGATTTGATTCCCCCCCTTCTATTTTGAAGCTGATAATGAGCCATAGCTGATGAACATAGGAATGTAAAAGCTGGCAAGGGTGGGTGGGTAACAACGGGCTGTTAAGGATGTGAGTGGCCTGGTAACCACTTTAGGCTTCCTTGCAAAACTTAGCTGTCTTAATTCATGGTTGATTTCATATTCTCTTTCCAGTGGAACATCAAGTCTGATCTGGCTTAGGGCTGAAATGCACGAAGATAAAGTTGATTCTGAAGGTTTCCATATCCTCTCTCAAGCTGAGTCTGGGATTTTGTAAGGAAACATTTGCTGCATCTTTGGGTGTGGGTGTCAGTTTCTGATCTAAAACCTCCCAAATTCTTCTTCCCAAATGAAATGTTTTATTTGGTCAGCAATAAAACATAAAAGAGCCATGTTGAATCAGGTCAAAGACCTGTCTAGTCCAGCTTCAGATTGTCATGGGGCCAACCAAGTGCTCTTGGAAGCATTCAAGAAGCGTTAGGGTTGCGGCCATTTTCCCACTTGTGCTTTCCAGCAGCTGGCATTCAGAGACACATTTGTCTCCAATGGCGGACATATAACATAGCTATTGTGGCTAGTAGCCACTGAATTTGCCCAATTCCCTTTTAAAACCATCTAAGTTAGTGGACATCAATACATCGGGTGGGAACAAGTTTAACCCTGTGCTGTGTGAAGAAGGCCTTTCTTCTGCCTGTCCTGAATCTTCTAACATTCAGTTTCCTTGGATGTCCACAGGTTCTAGTCGAAACAAAAGAAAAAATTTCCTTCCAGTAGCACCTTAGAGAAAAACTAAATTTGTTATTGGTATGAGCTTTCGTGTGCATGCACACTTCTTCAGATACACACGAAAGCACATCCCAATAACAAACTTAGTTGTTCTCTAAGGTGCTACTGGAAGGATTTTTATTATTATTTTGTTTTGACTATGGCAGACCAACACAGATACCTACCTGTCACAAGTTCTAGTGTTATGAGGGAGAAAAACTCCTCTCTGTCCACTTTCTCCAAGCCATGCCCAACTTCATGTCCCTCTTATCAAGTCCCTGCCTCTTACTTGCCCTTTTCCCAATTTAAAAAGGCTTAAAAGTTGTAAACTTTCCTCACGGGGAAATTGTTCCAACCCCTAAATCATTTTGGTTATCCTCCTCTAAAAATGTTACAGCTCTACTAGTATCCTTTTTGAGGACATGTGCTTTATTTCCCTTCTGTTTCTCTCTTCTTTGGGTCACCTGCCATCTGTCAAAAAGTAAAGGCAAAGGACCTCTGGACAGTTAAGTCCAGTCAAAGGTGACTATGGGGTTGTGGCGCTCATCTCCACTTTCAGGCCGAGGGAGCCGGCGTTTGTCCACAGACAGCTTTCCGGGTCATGTGTCCAGCATGACTAAACCGCTTTATTGTCCCCAGCTAGGGACATGAATTGAAACAGCCTACCATGTAAGACATCATAAGGCAAAATCCCTTTCCTCCCACAGGTGGGTTTGCCAGACGAATTCTCCATGCTATGATATTGTCCCCCAGGGTCTGGCTGCTCCTGATTATTTCTTTGTGGTGGAAGTATCAAACAGGTAGGTTTGAGTTTTTAAAATGTGTTTGGTTCATTTTAAAAAGAATTAAATTAATTTACAATTGAACTGAATTATACTGATAAGCTACCTTTCAGCCATAAGAACTCCTGAGCACAAGTTAAAACAATTCACAATCAAAAGGTGGTGTTCAACTTGAGTTTTACGCAGACTGGACTCATTGAAATTAATGGCCTTACTTAGTCATGGGTCGTGGGAGAAAGTACCACTCTGAAAGCATGGAGAAGAAACATGGTTTGGAAGGTACTAGGAGATGAATGGTGTGAGAAACCAAGAAGAGCCTATGTAAAGATCTAAGCAGAGAGCTGTAAACAGCAATTGACCAAGCTAAGCAGGCCTGCTCAGACCAGTAGTCAACTGACGTCCTGCCTCTTTTGCTTCCATAGGGGTGTCGACGAATCCACCTACTGTGATTATGCCTTGGAGTTCATTATCCATGTCCATGGCTTGCGCCTCAGCCCCACCCGGGCCATCTTTCTCTTGAAGGTAACAGCCGCCGTGCCTTGAGCATCTTCATTCTTTCTGTATGGAGGCTTTGCTTGATGACCAAAAGGACATCAGGGTCGACACCATGCAAGTCTCCCTGTAGAGGGCACATATGGAGTGCCACACTTGAAAAAGCCCCCCCCCCAGCCATCTAGTCATGGCAGACCCCCTATACTTCAGGGGGGCTCTGGTGATGGCCAGCTTCATGTGGAATAAAGTGGCCCTATCTATACCCAAGTTCAAAGACCTTCAAAGTCCCGCCAGGACCACATAACACCGGTTCTGAGAGATCTGCATTGGCTCCCAGTACGTTTCCGAGCGCGATTCAAAGTGTTGGTGCTGACCTTTAAAGCCCTAAACGGCCTCGGTCCTGTATACCTGAAGGAGCGTCTCCACCCCCATCGTTCTGCCCGGACACTGAGATCCAGCACCGAGGGCCTCCTGGCAGTTCCCTCATTGCGAGAAGTGAGGCTACAGGGAACCAGACAGAGGGCCTTCTCGGTAGTGGCGCCCACCCTGTGGAACGCCCTCCCATCAGATGTCAAAGAGATAAACATCTACCTGACATTCAGAAGACATCTTAAGGCAGCCGTTTTCAGGGAAGTTTTTAATATGTAACGCTGTACTGTTTTCAACACTTGATTGGGAGCTGCCCAGAGTGGCTGGGGAAACTCAGCCAGATGGGCGGGGTATAAATAATAAATTATTATTATTATTACTTCAGGCTATAAAGATGAGAACCAGCTGTGCTTGTAGCATAGCACTGTAGAAGACTGAATGAAGGCAGTATGCCTCTGAAAACCAGTTGCTGGGAATCACAAATGGGGCAAATCCTATTGTCTTGCCTGGGGGCTTCTCACTGCCATCTGTTTGGCCAAAGTGAGTATAGAATTGTTCTTCTCACAATGGCCAACCAGATCTCCCTGGGAAGCCCGCAAGCAAGCATGAGAGTTGCCTCCCCACGTGGGATTCAAAGCAAATGGTGTTCAGTGGCTGGTTGCCTCCAACAGTGGAGGTAGAAGGTAGCCGCCGTGGCCAGTACCCACTGACAGCCTTATCCTGCATAAATTTCCCTACCCTGTTTTAAAGTTGGCGGCCATCAGTATGTCTTGTGCGAGTGAATTCTGCCGTGGGAACAAATGCCATCGTTCTTACCACGCTTTGTGCCGTTTAGGAAAAGGGAAGCAGCATGGCAGGGAGTGAGAATAGCTGGCCGAACCCAAACAGAAACAATCGTTCTAGGAGGGAGGATACGCTGCAACACCCTTGTTGCTGATCCCATTGGTTTTATCTTTTGCCAGCCTGAATCCGCAGAAGGGAATGAACATTTGTGTGCAGTCCCACCTTCCTTTCTTGCTCCCTCTCCTAGCAATTTTTGAGGTTTCTGTTCACATACAGGTATTGCTAACAATTAGGAATTAACAACCACCTTCTCTCTTCCCCCCTCTCCGCTCCAAGGTTACAATAGCCATCATCCTTGGCTTGCTTCTTCTATACATAGTGGTTTACATCACGGGCCCCTTGGTCAAGGCCTTATTCAACAAAACATTCCGGAGATTGGAGGAAGCTTTAGCTATGCGGATAGGTGAGTTGGCAACAAGCAGGGGCACCAAGGAGGACAAAACCTCCTTGAGACTTCTGTTAGGGAACCATCTGGCAGGGGAAATCTGATCTCTTAGCAGGAGGGCCAAATTTGGTTTGCCTTATGGACTTAGGTCTGCCAGTCTCATCAACATGGGAAGATGTCATTTGTATTTTGAGGAGGCAGGGATATGGCTAATCCTAACTCACCAAGAGTGGAGAGGAGAGGAGGCTGATGGAACACATCAAGAAAGGTGTTTGAAAAGGGGTGAGGGGCTGCTGGCTCTGCAGGCGAGGGGTGACATACCTGGGCTTCAGAGCGTGTTTCTCCACAGGGTTGCTGCAGAAAGAATGTAGTTGGTCAAGGGAGCTGTGGACTCAAAAAGGTTGAGAACCTCTGCCCTAAACTGTTGGAATGGTTTAAAAGGGCATATTCAGTGTAGGAGAGGCTGGGCCAGTGCAAACAGGAATGAAGTAGAAAGAGTGAACAATCTCCTGTCAGTTGTGGATTTTTGAGAGACCCTCATGGGAGCCATTGGTGACCCTTGGCCTATGGTCACCTAATGATTTAGCTCAACTGTACCAGGGCAGGCAGGCACACTTTCACAGATGCTGTACCAGGCCTGCCTCCCTCTTTTTTTGCTTTGCTAGTCCAAAAACTGGGACTAAGCATGCTCCATGGAACCAGCTTAACAGTCAATGTATTGAGCCTCTCAGCTTCTTGTGAATTACATCTTCAGCTATTTCTGGAACCATTTGAATCTCTCTCTCTCTCTCTCTCTCTCTCTCTCTCTCTCTCTCTGCTGCCAGAATCCAGCCTCACCTTCTCATCTTCATTCACCAGTCAAGCATCCCTGCAGCACTTGGCCTCTGAACTCAGCGGGATCAGTTCACCACAATCCCAATCCACGAAAGGGCCTCCCCAGTCAAAAACGCGCTAATGTCAGCTACAGCTTCCAGGCCCTTTCTGCCATTAGCCATGCACTGTGTCTGGGTGCACCATCCCTCTGCGATTCTCCTTCCTCTGATGAGCTTGCAAAGGGCTCCTCTTTGCTTGCAGTGTCCTGACATGGAGCAAACAACAGCCACCTTGGACATAACAACTGAATGACATCTGAATCACAAAGCTTTAAAAAAACCACAAAACACGATGGTCTGTGAGCAAGTTGTTCAGTTGGCCCATTTGCAAGATGCATGGGAACCATTCCAGAAATCTGTGTCAGTAAAACCACTAAGACCAGTTGGTGGGAGATATCCAGAGACTACCCAGGTTCAACTATATCACCCTAGGCAGCACCTTTTTGCTATTCCTCAAACCCCTTTAGTCATCTCAGGTCAATATGTAATGTATTCCATTGCCCTGATGCTTTCTCAGCTGCTGTGTATCATCCTGACACTAGAAAGCAGCTGCAGAATTAAACCCGACAGGCCAACTTAACTAAAAAACCTGATTGATCCACCTTACACATGACAAGTGCCTGATCCTGTACATGAAACTCCAGGCCTGTTTTCAGCTTAACATCTGCCTGTGTAGAGGCAGTTTGTGAATGAATGGAAAGCCATTGCACCTTTCCCCAGTCATTTGTTTAAAAAGGAGGCAGATAATCCTTTTTACCAATTTTCTTATCTGTCCACTTAATGTTGTTGTTAGTTTTTGATGGTCATTCCAAGGCGTTACATGGTTCATTAAACATTTGGTTGCTGTGCAGTCTGGTTGGTAAGGAGTATCTTTTGTCCTCCAGTGAGTGCAGAACATAAAGGTGGAAAGTCATCAACTTCTCATTGCACAGGTCTGACCTATGAGCATGTATTGACACACACAGAGACACCCCAGTCAGGACAGGAGCAAGGATTCTCCCCTCGCCCCCAATGCACTCCCACAAGGACTGAGCAATCCATGAATTTAAAAGCATGCAAGTTTCATTTTATAGGCAAATTCTTGGGGATCAGGAAACTGCAAGAGGGTTAACTTGCAAGGTGGAAGGGGATAAAGAGGGGAGAATATCAGGCTCAGTTTACATTTTCTCCCGCCTTGTAATCTGGTATTAAAATGGAGAGAAGAAGGAATCATGCAGAAGTCCTGAGAGCAGCTCTGTCTCTCACAAGGGGCTCTAAATTCATCTTTGCTGACCTCTGAAAGCTGCTCAGGACAGAGGCTGCCTGCATGCCATACATTTAAATCACACAACTTCCCTAAAATAATTCTGGGAACCATAGCTTTTAAAGGGTGCTGGGAATCTAGCTTTGTGAGGGGTAAGCTGCAGTATGTGGACCGAGAACTCCCAGAAGTGCAAGCTGGATTTCGAAGGGGCGGAGGAACCAGAGACCAAATTGCAAACATGCGCTGGATTATGGAGAAAGAGTTCCAGAAAAACATCTACTTCTGCTTCATTGACTACGCAAAAGCATTTGACTGTGTCGACCACAGCAAACTATAGCAAGTTCTTAAAGAAATGGCAGTGCCTGATCACCTCATATGTCTCCTGAGAAATCTCTATGTGGGACAAGAAGCTACAGTTAGAACTGGATATGGAACAACTGATTGGTTCAAAATTGGGAAAGGAGTACGACCAGGCTTTGGAGACGATTTTCCTGGGTTGTCTTATACGCCGGAACATATGGTAAATGTGCAAAGGATTCTTTTAAAGCAGTAGTATGTATTCATTAGGTGCCTAAATGCAACTAGAGATTATGCTTTAAGTGGGATCGTGCTTTAATTCTAAGTATCCTTGCTCATAGGATTGGACTTTGCAGCTGGCTACTAAAACCTGCAGGGACGCGGGTGGCGCTGTGGGTTAAACCATAGAGCCTAGGACTTGCCGTTCAGAAGGTCGGCGGTTCGAATCCCTGCGATGGGGTGAGCTCCCGTTGCTCAGTCCCTGCTCCTGCCAACCTAGCAGCTCGAAAGCACGTCAAAGTGCAAGTAGATAAATAGGTACCACTCCGGCGGGAAGGTAAATGGCGTTTCCGTGCGCTGCTCTGGTTCACCAGAAGTGGCTTAGTCATGCTGGCCACATGACCCGGAAGCTGTACGCCGGCTCCCTCAGCCAATAAAGCGAGATGAGCGCCGCAACCCCAGAGTCGGTCACGACTGGACCTAATGGTCAGGGGTCCCTTTACCCTTTACCTTTTTTACTAAAACCTTCCAGGGAAGGCTAGCCACAATTTATAGAATACAGAGGCTTCTTCACCCCATTGCCTCCAATCCAGCTAGATAGCAGCTAGACAAAAAATCCCACACAAACCCTGGACTAACTTTCTCCAAAGTATTTTCAGTTCCATACCCATTCCAAAGGAACTCAGCAGTACAGCTCTGCCCCTCTTACTGCACAGAGTGAATTAGGTACCGTATTTTTCGCTCTAACGCGTACTCGACCATAACACGCACGTAGTTTTTAGAGGAGGAAAATCTGTAGGCATGCCACCCGTAGGCATTCCCTCCATAACACGCACAGACATTTCCCCTTCCTTTCTAGGAGGAAAAGAGTGAGTGTTATGGTGCAAAAAATACGGTAAATCCTTATAAAGAGCCATTTCCCCTAGAAAGAGAGGCGCTGCCCCCCCCCCAGTCCTCCTCATTCCTGATTTTTCTACTCTACTCAACTCCCCTTGTTTCAGAATTTATGAAACACACACTATTTATTTATTTACTTACTTGCTTACTACACTTGCACTGGGCATGGAGCCTTGAGGGTGCTGAAACTATGATTTAGAATGGTGTGCGAGAAGCAAGAGGAGCATTGAACTTTGACCTTGCACAGGTCACCGCTGAAACTTGAGACCCCAAGGTCCACCTCTGCTAATTGTTGCCCATCCTTGAGTGGTTCCCAAAAACGTGCTGTATCAAGAAGCTTTCGCCTATTAACACTTCTCCAAGCTATTAACAAGTCCATGGCTCTGAACAGCTATTGCCTCAGGCAACCTAAACTTACGACTCTACTTACAGATATCAGATAAGAAAGCCCAGGACAATATGGATAAAGTATTAAGGAAGTTGCATTTCCTTAAAACCAGTTTTTTTAAAATTAAAAAATGCTGTTTTAAAGATCTGTGCTACTACGGTAATCCACTAGAGGACAGTCTGCACCCGCTGCAAAACCAAATCATTGATTCCTGAGCTTGACTGCATTTTAGGAAATAATTTATTTTGCAAGCGTTAACAAGAAAACAAGAGAAAAAGAAATTTCCTCAAGAGTGAAGGGAGCTATAAATGTATCTGATTGCCTTGCCTGGTGATGCCCAAACTTCTGATAGGTGACAGGGAGGGCTTTTTTAAAGCCAGAACTCAGTTCTGGCACCTCTCAGGTGGGCACCATTGCCATTATAAGAGAACATGGTGAATTCTGGCACCCCTTTTTTCTAGAAAAATAGCACTGGTGACAGGCGCTTCTTTTTCCTAAATTGAAATTGAGAATTTGCTTCACGCATACAACTGAGAGTTCCATTCTCAGGGGCAGCCTACCCATGAGGCGAGGTGAAGCATTGGCCTCAGGCAGCAGATCCAACCCCCTTCCGTACTGTCTCTCATGAGCTTTGCAAGCAATATCAAAGTGTATCTGATAAGCACTCTTCAACAGTGGGTAGTTAGAGATTGCAACATGTGGAAACCAATTTTTGCTTCAATTTTGTGTCTCCTCACATCATGTTATGCCAAGCCATAGCTTAGTGTGAGCGTGGGTGCCCCAAGAGGTCCTTCTGTAGAGGAAGGGCTGTAGTTCAGTGACAGAGCACTTGTGTGCTGGTCCCGGGGAGGTTACCGTGAGGTGTGGTCAGAGTCTGGTCCTGGGTCGAGGGTCTGGAGACTGTCCACCAAGGGCAAAGCGGGGTCCAAAGCAAGAAGCCGGGTGTGGTCAGGAACTCTGGAAGAACAGGTCTGGGTGCTGGCAGAAACAGGTTTCCAACGACGTTGCTCCTGCAACCTGGGACTGGGCTGACTGGCCTTTATTTCCTCTGAGGCCAGGGGTGGTCCCGGCCCACAGGTGACCTGTCTCTCCTGACCTTAAGGTGAGCACTCCTCTTGAGAGAACTTAGTTCCCTCCGCCTCTCTGCCCTGAGCCTCTGCAGCTCAGGAGAGGCTGGAGGGTTACTGGACCCAGAGGCAACCTCACCTTCCCCTGACAGGGCTGGGAGAGGAGCACCTGCGGGCAATGGGTCCTCCATCACCTCCGGAGCCAGAGTGGATTCATCTGGTGTCTGCTCCTGAGGATCCGGCACAGGTGGGGGCCCTTCAGGTTCAAGCCCCTGCCCCGGCTCAGCCGGCCCTGGAGGCGGCGACTCCTGTGCAGGCTGGGATTTCTGAATCAGATTCCCAGGCCATCAGAACTTGCTTGGCATGCAGAAGGCCCCAACTTCAATACCTGGCATCTCCAGCTAGGGCTGGGAGAGACTCCCTGTCTGAAACCCTGGAAAGCTTCTGCCAGTCAGTGTTGACAGTACTGAGCTAGATGGACCAATGGTCTGACTCAGTGTAAGGCAGCTTCCAGTGATCTTTCTGCTGCTGCACAGCCATGAGCTAACCTGTATCTTGCTCCAGATGACTAATGAAGGAAGGTCAGCTGTCGCAGGACCATGGAGAGCTCCAAATGAGCAACTTGCTCCCCCGTGGGCTGGAGGTGAGCCAAGGCCTCCTGAGCCTCTGAATGTAGCCTGCCTCTGAGGACTGGAGGGTTTTTTTTGTTTTTTTAAGGACCAACTGGCCTGAAGATGTGCACTTCTCTCCATGACCTCCTGTATGCTGTACTCCTTGTGCTGTTTGACTGGAGTAATACTACTACTACTACTACCAGTACAGTGGTAACTTGGGATGCGAACAAGATCCATTCCAGAGCCCCGTTCGCTTCCTGAATGGAACGTATGACGCATCTGCACATGTGTGGGTCAGGTTTTGCCACTTCCACGCATGTGTGTGACGTCATTTTGTGCGTCTGCGCATGCGCGAGCGGCAAAACCCGGAAGTAATGCGCTCCGTTACTTCCAGGTTGCTGCGGAGCGCAACCCGAAAACGCTCAACCTGAAGCACATTCAACCCGAGGTACGACTGTAGTAGTATACCACCCATCACCCACAGATCTCAGGGCAGTTCACAACATAAAAATACAACCTAAAAGCACAAAATACATGATAAAAACAACAACAAACCCCACAAACTAATGTGGTGTTTCCCGCCGTTTTGGAGCCCCCACCAAGTCACTAGTATGCCACTGAGGAGGAATGGTTGGCTGCTCCCAACTTTTACCTCAGTGAACCACAACCCAACGGGCAAGATGTCCCACAACGAGGAACGCCTGATAAGTTCTGAGGAGATTTAAGGGGCAAAGAGAACCGCCTCAGTGAAATACGGAGCACCGTGAGGCAGCACTGAGGAGATTTAAGAGACGAGTCAGCTCCTAACACGGCTTCCTCCGAGGAGAATTCAAGAGGCAAGCCAACACGTGAACTGCCCTTGAGCCAAGCGACATGCTACATTACTCACACATTTTTAGAAATGTGATTAAGCTGGCCATTTTTATTTTGAAGACCTGGTCCAGAACCTGCTGAAACCAGCTTCCTGCTGAAAATCACCCCCTCTCTGGCTGTCCCTGAAGGTGCTTTAAACAACACTTTGGGGGCGCAAATAGGTGTGTGTGTGTGTGTGTGTGTGTGTGTGGTGATTTTCATCAGGAAGCACTTAAAATATATGTAACATATAGTTTGGGCCCTGAGTAGCCA